CAATGTATACATGACTGATCATTATGTAACATGCTAGGAAAATTAATGTTATATAACATGTGGGTGCAATCACATGGCATGGATATACATGTCACGTAACTAATGGGCGCCTGCTATGAAATATGCCGACGCGTGCTACATAACATTTGGGTGCAATTACACATCATGTGGGTACATGCTATGTAACAAGTGGGTGCATGTTATTTAGTAAGTGATCAATCATGAACATGAGTAAAACTGTATACCCAAGTTGGTAGTAGTACATCACCAACTTATAATATTCCATGACACAACATAAGGGTGGGTGCAACAACTTGTATTCCCTTTGGTAATATTGGGTGCAACAAATTGTATCTCCCTAGGGTGGCTTTGGGGAAAGCCATACATGCATACAGTATATAAATTATAGTACGACCTTAACGCAACGATACAATAAAACCGACACTCCAACCATCGATAAACAATAGAACAGTTCAAGTTCAAAACTAGTATCAGGCTAGACCATAAACTAGGGTTCCATTAGGGTTTAACTCAACACCATCATCTATCTGATACTAACTGTTGCCCAACAGTAAGACTTGAACTCCATAAGCCGACTACATACAAGCGAGACATTACGTAACATACAACTGCACAGGGTAGTTTGCAGTGTACCAAAACATGATCAATTTGGGTATTGATCATCAACAATGAGATAAACTGACATGATCAAACTGGGTATGTTGATCATCAACCATGTAAACAAAATATGGGTCAAATAATTCCAATGTGCTTTTGCATTAACAAGTCAAATCCAAATCCAAATGTAATACTTGCCAATTTCACCACACTCAGTATACATAGAGTGCTTACAGCTTGAAATGAGGTGAAGGGTGTCCATCCACATGAGGTATTTGCATCAGCATATGAGTGGTTGGTTGTTGGTGGTATGTAGTTCGCCATTTGTCAGACGTGCTGACAATTGCAAATCATGCGGGAGGGGTGAACCTCAAACTTCAAGCCTGATTTGGGGGTCAGACTTCGTGCAAATCCTGTTGTAATCACCTCATGTGGACGGACGACTTACTGGTGTAAATCGTGAGACAGTTAAGACACCTCGACGGTCAACAATAGCGACATTTTGAGTGAAGATAGCGGAGCAAATCACGAATGATTTACTCGAAAAACATAAGATGGCTACCTGTCTTCTGCGCACGCGCAGCGCCCTACATAAATTACGAACTTATGTAAATCCACAAAAACGGCCATAACTTCGCCAATACGGGACCGATAGCAAAGTTTTAACTACCTATAGAGAGCTGAATTTACGTATTAAGTGCATATCCTACTAGATTAACGATAAAACATAGTAAACAGGGTGAAATTTAGACCAGAAAACTACGACAGTAACCTTGACCTTTTTACGTCAAAAGTACGAACGGAACTAAGAATAGTTCGAGAATTACGCCAAAAGTACGAACGAGAGCAACAATATCCACAAATTACAAGAATATGACACTTTAGTGGATAATAAGGATCTAAACATGTATGTGAGTATATAAACAACATTAAGTGAAACCCAACAGTGGTGAGACATCGAACTGACATAACTGAATAGCGGCAAACAAGAAAGTAAATCTGTTGGGTTATCACAAACGTAATCATTATAGAACACATAGCTGAGAAGTAGCAAGCATAGGCATGGATTTGAAGCAGGTAGCATCACCAAGTTCAATACACGCAAAGAGGCGTTAATGATGATGTCACTTCGGTTGAGGTTCGCACTGATTCTACTAGTTCTAATAAATGGTGTGAACATTTGTGTATTAATTTTCAAGGAATTGTAATTCCGATTAAATTTAGGTTTTACTATTTGTGGTGATAACTCAAATATTTCTCTCGCCGCTTAATATTTGATTATTTCGATCAATTACCATTTTGATGTAATTGAATCATTTTAATTCATTTAGCTCTTCCTGATCGAATGTGACAGTAGTTGTTATACTTGCAGTATCAAATGGCCAGCTGACATGTCCAGAAGGAGTAGAAATGAAACATCAAAACGACCCATCAGTATTTGACGAACTGACAAGTTTGGCCGGAAATAAATAAAATCCTCAAATACCTTCAAGAGAATCTAAATGTCACCATATTGACCAAAGTAACAATTTCTGCTTCTGATACGATAGTGTATGTAATTGAAAAGAGAGTAACTCTAAAGGAAGACGCCTTAGCTTATATTGATGATAATAGCCCAATACCAATTCGTGAAGCAAGAGTCGTGTTAGCGGCTCCACTTGGAATGTTTGAATATACCGTAAGACCCTCATTGTGGGATCCACAGCCTTTACGACATTGTGGGATCCACAGCCTTTACTATCCTTTTGGAATAGTTCAGTTCATAGTTCTCTCAAAAACGTTAGGTAAAGAGGGACTCTGATAAATCAGAATCTCTCAAAAACGTTAGGTAAAGAGGGACTCTGATAAATCAGAATGTAAGACCCTTGCCAAAACCGAAATACCATAAGAGAACAACAAACCAGAAATGGAGTCGAAATGACTTGAAGTTTACAGATCGTTCTGCTTTTGCGGGTGACTTCAATCAAGCGCTGGGGATTGCGCGCTTATAAAGAAGCGCGTAAGTTGAACGGACTTCTTCAGGAGAGCCTTAATCACGGGGTACCATCGAATAATTTTGGCAACGTACCGGAGAACGACATTTTACTAAGAAATGGCAATAATTTAGCACAATATATTTTTTACTGAACTAGAGTTCTATTTTGATTGTGACAAAAGTAAGTATTCCATGCAATAACTATTTCATTCATGAGTTTGTAGGAATTCTGTTGGAACCTAGTTCTGTTCAAGTACGAAGTTATTGAAATCGGCGCAGAGGGACTTTACTCCGAAAGATGGTTTTTCGATTATAACTTTTCACAACATTTAAGTATAGACTTTTGAAAAAAGTACAGAATAGTCCTTATACTTTTGAATAATTCTGTTATTTCTGATTCACACGACTCTGATTTGTTTAATTAAAAAAAAAGTTTTAAAAATATTACTTAGGAACGTAACCGGAGCTGGGAACGTAACCGGAGCAGATCAGTTGAATTATTTAATCAAAAAATTAAAATATATGATTTAAAGCACATATACTAATTTAAAAACATACGGGATTGTTCGAATGCGTATTTATTAATATATATGCTTTAAATCATATATTTTGTTTTTGTAGATTTAGAGATAAACATGCCCTCGGTCAAACACAAATCCAAAATTGAGGAACCTGTTGAGGAAATGGCCCTATAATCAACACTGTTGAACACAATGCCAATACCCTCTGCATTCGCTCGACATTAAAGACCAGCATTTTCTTCCATTTAATTGGCATATTTGAATTCGATCTGTGTGTAATTTTCTACCAAATCAACTTTGATCTGTACAGTTGTTTACCTTTATTCAAAATCTAAAGATTTTCGAGTTTTCTGAAAAAGGTCGGGCTAAATCCCCATTGACACAATGTTGAAAAACCTTTAAAAGTTCATTTACTCTTAAAGGGATCTCAATGTCCACATGTCCATAATATCATATAGTTAGATTCCAATGGTGTTTTAAGTTGATATAAATGGAATTACTTCTTAAATCAAGAAATTAAAGATGCATTATACCAAAGGTTTCTCACCCAGACAATCAATGATGTCCCATTGTTATTGATTATATAATATCTCACATACCATAGATATATCTTGAGAATAACTTATGGGTATATTATTGCCGAAATATTGAAATAATCAGCAGAACAACCAACCTCCAGAATTAAACACAATCGATTCCTCGGCTAGCGAGGAGAATCCCCGTTGAGTCACGCAAACGCCCAAACGCGGCTTGAACCAAGCAGCCAATCAGGTTCATGATAAACAAATTCAACAACGACCAATAAGATAACAGGGGGATTTCCCCGGTATATTTAAACTTCAGATTGAATTAATTTCCGTGAAAATAATTAGATCGGTGAGCACAATCGTAAAATTAACACTTAAATCGGGGGATTTGAGACTTCTTCTTTGATAAGTAGATCGGTGAATATGTGGTTAAGCTCAATATGCAAAAAGGTCCAGAGGGGTCTTGATTGTGCTATCCTATGGTATAGAGCCTCTTTAAGTGACTCTTGCTATAGGCTGCCATGTTATCTCGCCCTACCAACACCAATGATGCCATCTATTTTTCCATTTATATGGAAAAGGGTCTTAAACCAGGTCATCAAAAAATTCTGAATATTTTACACATCCTCAATTTATAAATAATTGTCACCTTTTGAATGGTAACAATTGAATTTGAAAACATAATACTTTTCTTTTAGAAAACACATATTTTGACCTCCAGGTCTGTGACTCAACATTTCCTTCCTGAAGTAGATGTTCATCAAATTACATACCACATGCCATCAATCAATGGTTCTTCACACAAAGAATTAAAACAAGATGATATTTGCTTAGTCGGTGTATTGGTTTATTGAAAGTGATTATAAAACTATAGATCTGAAGTGACAATAGATGATGACGTGAAGTATTGAAGTAACTATTAATTAATGCCATTAGCAATTGTTCTTCAATCAATCAGACAAGGTTACACAGTAACAAAATGTCACTCCCGGTGGTTATACATCGCACCAGAATTTGATAACTGGATATCGACCTTCTGGTTTACCGGACCCCTTGGCCTCTCTTATCACTCAGTAGTTTGCGAAAGTTCAAGACAAAGAGGCGCGTTTATCGCGATGGAATGTCGACAAAACAAAGGCATGTAGCAAAAATCACAAATCATTATGAATGACATGAATTTTCCTGTTGAAAAATAACATTTGATATATGGTTTTCAACTTTATAGAATTTCAATGCCAGTTTCAGTGAACAGAGAAGTTCATAACTTATACTGACAGGGGGTTAAAGAAACTTCTGAGAAAAATGAAAATATACACCTCTTAAAAAATTATACATTTTGAAACACAAGACAAGTTAGTCATGAATGCATTTTTTATTTTTACTTTAGGTTTATACATAAACATAATAAAACGACACCATTCATATCGTATAGCTAATACTGTATCTCAGCTCATTAACTACCTGACCTGACGGTGTTACTGCAAATGTAGGCTTTTTCTAGATTTCTGATAACTCCTAAAATGTGGAGGGCCCAGGGGACGTAATTTTTAACTTTTTTAGCTTCATATTCATAATTTCTCCAAACTACACATTCCACATTTAAATTTTTCGTATTCATTTTTCTAACTCCAAAACTTCCTAATCAACCATCATATTCCAATTTTCCCCTCATATTCCATATTTCTTTACATTTCATATTCATCAATGATCATATACATTTAAGTGATGCATAGACATACGATTACATCAATGGACAACATGAAACTGCATATTACATATGCTTGGTTCACCCTGTACATGAATACATGCAAGATTTTGGCTTGCCCTATACTTGAAAACATGCAAGATTTTGGATCATCCTTTACATGAAAAAATGCAAAAGATTGGGTCACCCTGTATATTTACCCATGGGAGATGTTTATTGCAATATTTATAGTCAAAAGTCAAACCTCTGAATATGTCTTTAAAGCTGTAATATATCCAATGGCTCAATTACTTAAAACTGGTTATGGCTACATGAGATGTAAGACCATCATACACGAGAGCCCTACTGCTAATTTTTATCCAGAAATTTGAAATGTTCCAAATTGAAAATTGTAGTCCAACATCATGAAAAGTGCACATTAATTCTATTTTATTAATTGAAATCTTTGCTCTGATAGCTGTGCTTTTCTTCAGATTACGGTTCTCCTGATTTTCTATTCATAATATCCTTAGACTAATCAAAGGCTGTGCTAGGAGTTATCAGTTGGTTGTGTGCCCTTTAGATACCACAGGCCATTTTTCCCAGGCACGCAGTAGTCCTGCAACAGACAGTGAGGTTAGAAATATTATAGAAATTTAGTGTGTATCGAAAGTCGGCCCCCACTCGTTACTTGGTGCTTATCAGGCTTCTTAGCAGTAGGCAATAAAATCTATTCAAATGCTAATTGGGTAATACTTATTCCAGCTGATGAGACCGTCAGTTTGGTCCGAATGCACACATAGTATCTATTTTTTACCTGGTTTACTCATATGTAGGACTGATTGTTTTTGTACATATTTGCATGTTATGTTAATTAAAACTCATGTATATCATGTAAATATTAGGAAATATGTAATCTTAAACAAATAAATATTGTTTGAACATTTCTCCATTTTGTTCATTCTTTTCATTTAACCTGCTACATTACAGAAAAGAAACTTCAGATTATTATTTCTGAATGAGACATATGTACCTTTACTATATTTTTAATCTCTGGAGCTGTTAGAGTTAAGCCCTCTTTATCATTGAGAAGTTGCTGGAGGACATGGAGACGAATCTTAGAGTCCAGATGGAACATCTCCAACATTCGTTGCCTCGTCTGAAATAAATTCCAAAGTACTAAATTATTAAATCTCCCATTTCCACAGTCTCATCTAAGGGTTGAGATTTGATTCAATGTGTAATATCTAAAAGAACTAAAGAACATAGAAACTCACAGAAAGAATTCACGTGGGTTAGTAACATTTTGGGATGGAAATAAATTCTTACCCCAAGGACTACAGAATACAAACTTTCAGGTTGGTCTTCCTATCACTTCTGATTAATGTGTAAAAAGGAAATATGATACATTATCTGTCCTTGAAACAACACTTTTATAAAGATGGACTAATTTTTGAAATGGCCAAAAGCACTTTCCATAGTCTCAATTTTTGCCATTATTAATCACACAATTCAAAAATATCCATTACTTAAGATAGTTATACACCCTAACTGTCAGAGGCCTAAAAATTAATTTGTGATAAAGTGTACATAATTTTGTTTTTAATTTCGTACCTGAACATAAGTAGAATCTCCTGGTTTATAGAATATGAACAGCTCTTCCTTTGTTACTTTAGGTGGCCACTGGAAATACAAAATATGAAGACTAAATATCAACAGTAAAGTAAAGTGTAAGGGATCTCCAACTACCCTTTTGCATGAACTTTATATGAAGAACAAATGACATGACGTCAAAGTGACTAATTGTGGAATTGTGTTTATAAACATCATCTATTTGGAACCCCCTTAAATTGCTTGAGTGAGATTAATTCTGTACTTGTGAAGTACCATAAAATCTGTAAACTGAACATTTGAATATCAAAGTTTCAAATCTTGCAGTCCTCAACTTTAAGTTAACATTGACTGATTCTGAACTGTGATAAACCATTGTAAAAGCACTCTGTTAAGGCATGCTTCACTTTGATAGAGAGGGAAAAGCTTTTGAGAAGGTTTTGAAGGAGTTTCATACCTCACTCTTGAGACGTTCACCGCCACAATCCAAGACAGCTTGTTGTAGCATTCTGTCAGAGACTCCTGTACCCAGTACATGTCCTGGGGGACAGGACGCTAACTTTAACTGAAACTGGCGCTTGAGTTCACTAAATGTCACCACCCCCATCTCACTAATTTTCTCATTAATAAATAAATGGAGTTCCTTTTTACGTTTATCTTTATCTTGATCACTAGATGAACGTCGCCTGGCTCTAACAGGGCCATTAGCAACAGCTGTTCCACCACTCAGTCTACTAGTGTCAATGTTTTCATTTTTAACTTCTGTTTTAGGTGCATCAGAATCTGTATCACTGTGATCAGAAAATGAACGTCGAGATTTAGATGTCGTTCGGCGTCTTTTAGGTCTTTCTGGGGGAGACATACCTCCATCTGAAAAAGACATTTGCATCAATTTGTGACAATTCGTTAGTATATCAAATTATGTTGGTTTGAACTTATTTCTTATTTTAACTTTTTGTGACTTTTAATACTTTTTTTTTCACTTCTCTCAGGTTTGTATTTCTGCATGGGAGGAATTCAATGAGCAGGCCTATTTGCAGATTCACCCGAATAAATTATCAACATGTTTTACTCACTAGAAGGCAGCAAGTCTATAACTGCATGGAGGACTATTACAATATTTCCATAACAAAATCGTTCATATTTATTTTATTTATGTAAGGAAAATTCAAAATTCCGACCAAATTCACATACTACCCTTTCTCGCTTTCAGAATTTATTAGTTCATCAATTAACATTTCAGAGCTGAATGCTGAATTTGCTTTAACCATGATACATGTACCTTTTTTCTCTTCTTTGACAGCAGTCAGCTTAAGCTGCTTACAAAGTTGTTGGTACTTGGCTTCCCATAGCATGGTTTGTCTTTGAGCTACCTCCGGGTGTCTACAAGAACAAGATCCACTAAAATTAAAGATATCCTTTAAAACTCAAAATATTGCATTGATGGACACTTTTGGTGTAGTTTTTTTGATGTTTGCATAAATGTCTTGGATTTTTTCTGAGAAACCATGATAAGGTAATATTCATTTGAATTAATGCGATGGAATTCTTTGTCTCATTTAGCACAAATAAGAACCACTCATTCTTAATCTGTTACAACTATTTTACCAATGAATAACCAAATCCATTACCTTGATAAGAATGTGTTATCTGTCTCCTGTATAAACTCCCATCCATGATGAGCCTTAACTTTGGACATCTGTTCTAAAATTGCCCTGACGTCCTCAGTGGATAGCTGCAAAACAAATGCATATTCTGTGAAACAACAACTCAAAACACTGAAAACAACACATCATTGGTTGTCAAGGTAACACCCTATATTAATTTCCAAAAAGAGACAAATCAAACTTCATTTGTAAAAGCGCACCAGACCGGAAAGACCATTGTTATAGTAAACAACAGTAAAATCCCTATGATGTGAGCACTCTTAAGCCTGAACAAAAAGTGCTCAGTTTGGGGTATTCATTTCAGAGAGGTTTGATTTAGCATGGGACCTAATTGGAGGAATAATAAAGATGCCCATTAATTGTTCATATCACAATGGTGTTCAAGCTTACCTATAAAGTAAAACCTGTCTAAGTGGAACACCTTTGGTACCACTTAAAAGTGTTCCACTTAGGAGGTGTTCCACTTACAAATGTTCATTCAACAATAAGTCTGTTGATCTTAGGACTATGAAAAGTGTTCCACTGACAGAGGTGTTCAACTTAACAGGTTTCAATGTACTTAAATGACCAAAGTGACGTTTTGTTGTATTACCTTAATGGCAATGAAAGGTTTTACTATTACCTTAATGACTGATGTGATTTCCTTCCTTATAACATGTCGACTTTGAGTAAACTTCCACATGACATAATCTCTACTTCGACACAAAATATCAGAGGATGCACCACTGTGGGGACTACAGGTATCCTTTGGGTAGAGAACATCACTGAAACATGCATTTCAATTTATGAGCAAAACAACTCAGCTGATTGCGTTTTTTTAAACCAATTTTTACAAGTTGGATAGTTTAAACCAAGATTGAATACAATACTAACGACTATTTACAAATCGTGAAATATGAAATTTTAAGTTTTGACACTGTAAATTGAAACCTATAAGGTTTGTCACTCAGAAGGTATTGTGCTCAAGTCACTAAAAGGCTGCTAACCAAATGATGACGAGTCTTGTAATTACAAATAACACACCTTTTGACGACCCAGCAACCTTGGACCAACATGGCCACCTGCTGTAATGGACGTAGTGCAGCTGTCACATCTGTGTTCTTTGGCAATAGTTGCATTAGTGTGCTGAATTTTATTACTTTGGCTAAAATATAAAGAATTTAAAGATCATTATAGCATGGGAGTGAACTTTTTGGTAATAGCAGCCTATGCAGATCAATTGACTGGTCAATTTATTAAATCAAAAAAAAAAATTATTCATTGACTCCTATATATATATATATCAAATAAAAATGAGGCATGAACAATATTGTGCATGACATTCAAAATGACCACCCTATAGTTTAACAGTCAAAGGATTACTTTGCCTGGAATCATATATACATAAGTAGGCATACCCTTGAAGTTAAGTTATGGGGAGGGGCATATTTAAGAATTGAATGTCAAAACCAAGCTCAAACAACAATAGTGTACCTTTTTAAGGTACAGATATTCAAGAAACTGTTCAATAAATTTGATTATCTGTTGACAATTTATTGTAACCATCACTAGAAAAAAATAGCTGAGTAGCAAATCCCACTGAACAAACCATGTTTATCAACTCATTCATAATTTGTTCTGCGAGATAATCATTATTGAAGAAAAAATATTGTAACCATAGTTACCATTGATGAGAAGGGATCTGATTTGATCACTGACTGGCATGTTACGTAATTGGGTCAGTGATATCACGTTAGTTGGAAGAGCAGGTTTCTCACTGGAATTTAAAGAATAGCTTACAGCAAATCATAAAACACAAGAGTAACATAACAAAATGTCACTATGTGGTTGCTATTACAAAAGTGTAACAATTGTTACTGGTTCAAACTCTGGTCACAGAATTACCAATGATGTAAGTAATACTATGAATTAACAATATTTTAGGGTTATTTAGGATGAGAGCTACATCTATTAGCCCTTTCATATAAGTCAACATCATATCTCTGATAGTTATAATTAAATCATATAAGATTTCTTGAAAACAAAGCTCAAAAATGTGAATCTCAGATTTGAAAAGAATATGATCTATCTTGTCTGCAAGTGACAATGTACATGTATATTAATATACCATCATCTGCAAAACTTACCTATTGGATTCACTCGGTTTTTCAATCAATTTTTCAAGGAATTCATTGGGAGTAGAATGTAGTTCAGATACAGGTTGGGACACATTGGAGGTGAGCTGCTGGTGCACTGCCTGGGATAAATCAGCCTAGAAAATATATCTAAACATTGAGATATGCATCTGATCACTAGATAATGAATCATGGGATCCAAAATAGCCATTGTCCATTGCTGGTCTGTTTAAGGTTTGAAGTAAATAAGAAAAGGTCATATACGACACTCAATTAATAGTAGTTGAAATTCAAATCAACATTAGAAAATAAAAGTATAATTCATCTAAAAAGTAAGTTATCTTAATGGATTAAATGGGTTATGAATATTTGAGTGTATCTGATTATGTTTTCATGTAAGACTTAGTAAGTATGTCTGTGTTGAAAAAATCCTCAAAAAGTACTGACATGTTGGGAGTGGAAGTTCATTTTGACCCAGGGCTCTTCATCTTGTTGTTTCAGCAGATAACCATATGATGCCTTACGACGTGCTTTAGCTTCTTCACTTTCAACTCGGGAAAATTTCACATGAATTGGTTTAGCTTCTTCCTCTTCATCTTGGGAAGACTCCCCTAGAATATATAAATGCTAGTTTAGGAAGTACTCTCTTGTCAAATGTCTAATTTAGTTAGGGCATAAACTCTGTTGAAGAAAGAATTTTCAAAATCCGATTCAACATCGCCACAAAATGTCCAATACTCCATATCACTACTGCCTAATCCAGCAGGCGCTTTGACACTTAAACTTGAATTCTGCTTCTCTATATTCTTATAAATTAACTTTATTTCTAATAAATTCCTTCATTCACTTCACTATATTCATTGTGTCTCATTCTTAACATTTTTATGACACACAATAATGTAATTCAAATCTCACCAGCTTCTTGTGCCTTTATGTCCTCTTTGATTTTAGTGTCTGCCTTGTCCATATATCCAAAGCTTGGTCTCATCTGAACCACTCCATGAACGGAGGTAAGATGAAGCTCACCTAGTGGAATAGACAAGAACTGGATTCACTTTACATTGCTGTAATCCATACAATCATGTGGTGTCTAAGCGCAGCAAACATTATGGCAAAAGAAACCCTCAAGATATTAAATAACAGGTGGTAAAGATATCAAACTTTTTTTGATGTTGGTGACTTGAGGGAGTTACTGTAAACCGCATGCATTTACATGGAGATGTAAAATATTATGTTATAACTTGATCGTTAATCATGCTGCCAAATGTTTTAGGTGCTACTTATTTTGGTGGCTACTTGATTTGACGGACTTGTAATATTACTAATGGTACTACATTACGGGGAATTTGCCGGCTACTTAACTTGGTGTACTTTAACAATTTGGCGAATCCACTAAATGAAGTAGAAGTAGAGTACAATAGAGTTAGGACAAAAAAACTCAAAGTTGTAAAATTGAGTATAGAATCTGTTGAATGCAACTCACCATCTTTGAGAATACCTGCAGCATACCTAGCTGATGGGAGGTGAACTCGTGAAGATGTCAGTACCTGTTTGTCCATCTTATCACTGAAACAACAAGTACACCATCAACATAGTAGTGGCTAATGAATAAGTCAAATTTCTGCTATGGTTTTCAACCAACTGAAAGCCACGATGGCTAATGAATTAGTCACATTTCTGCTATGGTTTTCAACCAACTGAAAGCCACGATGGCTAATGAATTAGTCACATTTCTGCTATGGTTTTCAACCAACTGAAAGCCACGATGGCTAATGAATTAGTCACATTTCTGCTATGGTTTTCAACCAACTGAAAGCCATGATGGCTAATGAATTAGTCACATTTCTGCTATGGTTTTCAACCAACTGAAAGCCATGATGGCTAATGAATTAGTCACATTTCTGCTATGGTTTTCAACCAACTGAAAGCCATGATGGCTAATAAATTAGTCACATTTCTGCTATGGTTTTCAACCAACTAACTTAACTTTAAGTAGAGTGAAGCCTGTCATTACTGAACATTTCTCTGTTGGGAATAAAGGGAGTATTTGAGGGATTTCATACGTAAATGTGGAACACACCTTTTATAAAATCTATCAGGAGCATCTCCCCCACCATAGTCCTGTGCCCCATCTACATTCAGTGCAATCTGCTCTCCTTTGCTTTTAGAATAATTGGCACTTGCTGTGTTAACTCGTAACTCCAGTTCAATCTGAAATACAGCAATAGACAGGGCTTGCATTAATGGCGTCCCGTACAAGTTAAGGACTCAAAAATAATTTGGAGGACGCAAAAATTGAAAATATTTCCGTTTTTTTGGACGCAAATTTTTTTAGGTCAATACTACAATGTGTTTATAACGATACCTAACAAAAACAAATAACTATGATCTCTCACCTTTATTTGAATCGTAAATAAGGCTCAACATGTTGAATATTTACAAATAATCATGATTCTCTCGAATTTTTTCGACTTTGTTTATTTTTAGATTTGAAACCATGACACGCCACAGTTTTTCCTATTCAGAAACAAATATTAGGTTATTCATGAAATAAAATGTATTCATTGTCCAATGAACGAACATGCATTTATTCAATTTATTAACGTTTACTTCCGTTTTAAATTCGCGGCAAGATATCAAAAACTGAAAAATAAGGGACACACTTTTTTTTCAAAGGACACACTTTTTAAAAAAAAATTGCGTCCTTGGGACTCACAAATTTTCTAACCTAATGCAAGCGCTGAATAGAGCAGAGCAATAAGTTTCCCATAATGACTAGAAGTTTCATTTTTCAGATTTTAATGGATGTTTCTTGGTATGAATGAAATTTCAATAAAAACAATACCCTTTGTAAAGAAAAAGGATAAAATTTTGGACATGCTGGGAAAATTTCATGGTGGCCACTTTTAGTAGGATACTGTTTTATTGTGTGCCTTGTGGGCTACACAATTAGGTTGGATATGATGAGCTGAACCAGTTTAAAAGGAAACTCAGTTAATGATAATGTTTTAATCACTCTTAGTTTTGAGAAAAGTAGTAGTGGGTATTTCTCCAAATACTCAATAACAGGAACAGAATTTGTCATTTTGATATTCATGAAAAAACCATATATGGGAACATATATTAACAATGGACTACCTTCTGTTGTTCTGGTTTCATTCTTGCTGCCAATGTTGTGACATCATCATACGTCATACTAGATGGGCGAACAGGGTACTTGAATACACAAATGCAATACAATGAGTTATTTCCTTCATGAAACAGGGGAGCCAAGGTTCAATTGAACAAAATATTAAGACCTCAAATGCTTAGTCTCTTTACAAAGAATGAACTGTCTGTGATACAGTAAATACAACACATTAATAATAAAAACATACACTGCAGGGTCCTAAATGATTAAACAAATGCAATAGATTACTAAATACAATTATTTTAATATATCTTACCTGAAGAAGATACAAATTGTCAGCCAAACTCTTTGACAGATAGACATTCACCTGAAAATATTTTTAATGAAAACTGAGTTTTTGATATGAGGGAGGGGGGGCAAAAAAATCTGAAGATGTAATATCCACTTTGTTCTTTACTATTTATACATGAGGAAAAGTCTGCTATTGCTCCATCTAGTGTCAAGTTTTGTTTCATTGAAACATGACAGCACAATACTCAAATGTTTTACCTAAATGTGATGATCTCTCGGTCTAAAGGAAGAGGTCTTTTGGTATATAGGTACATATTATACAAACAACCCCCTCCCAATCAAAGAACATGACACACAGAGCATTTCTCTAGAGGCATGTACACTAAATGAGACTGATAATTTCCCAATAGTGCGTCCCATCCTTCAAATGAAATACTGAAAACCATTATAGCGCATGTGTTTGACAAGACTTCGAATCAAGATCAATCAATGTGCCGTCTTGTCAAAACCACAGGAAGTTGTATCAAGTCATTTTTGGGCCTAACAGAGCTTTTTGCCCTTCCCACCTCTCAGAAGAGATGTATCCCTCAAAGATTCTCTCCGAATTCGTGGTGAAAAAATTGGTGAAATCAAAAGTAGATTTTCTACAAGAGGGACCCCTACAAGATCCTTATATTCAAAATTCAACCAAACTTGCACAATTGGGAAGAAAAATATTGGTTTCACCTATTTTTTTCAGCGCGAATTTGGAGGGAATCCGTGAGGAATACATCTGTTCTGAGAGTGGGAAAGTGTAAAAATCTCTGTAAGGCCAAAAAATGACTTGATACAACTTCCTGTGGTCAAAACAGCTCTATAGACTAAGGCCGCGCCTGGAGAGCCTTAAAATTTAAGGCTCTCTAGCCAAAATGCTAAAGAGCCTTAAATTTTAAGGTTCTTTAGCATTTCGGCTAAAGAGCCTTAAATTTTAAGGCTCTTTAGCATTTTGATAGCCAATTCTGCTAGAGAGCCTTAAAGGAATTCCAGGCGACAGAAATGACGAAATATTGCTTCTGGGACAAGATCAAACGACTTTGACATATTCTATACCCAACAAATCAGCACAAATATACATACCATACTAGCAGATATCGGACAAATTCAAAAAGAAATATTTTTTGATCGATAAAATCACTGATTATTAAACCGGAAGTGTCTTCTGAGGTCCGCAAAGAAGATGAAGAAGAAAACATATAAAGATTTCAGTCAATTCAATTTTGCAGTCGATTCAATTTTAAATGGTTTTGAATAATCTTTGAATGCTTACTATGACTTCTATTAGTACTGTTTTGACTTCCCCACTTCATAAACAGAACATTATCATTTTTTACTCGATACATAAATTTACTTCCGGTCTACCGGGAAAAAAAATGTTCTAAAACCTTTTCAATCCTCAGTCTAAATTTGGCTTTTTAAAGGTTCAAACGTTGACTTTACTTTGAATGGACCTTTATGCATATATCGAAAATAGGTTCACCAGAGAAGGTGTAAGACCAGGCAATCACGTAAAAATGTCTGAGAGTCACATTTATTGATGACTTTGATGCTAGCCTAAAATCGCTGATACATAACAGACTTTTGAGCGGAAGTTTTTGCAAAAAGTTTTGAAAAAATATCTTGTCAGATGGAAAATCCTAAAAACAGCATTGAAATCAGCATTATCACTTTTTGCTCGACTCATAAATCACTTCCGATCTACCGAGAGAAATAAAAGTTCTTAGAACCTCAATCCTCAGTCTAAATTTGGCTTTTTAAAGGTTCAAACATCGATTTTGAACGGACCTTCATGTATATATCGAAAATATATGTCTCTGGTTCACCAGAGAAGGTGTAAGACCAGGCAATCACGTATATAGCCAGAAAAATGTTATTTTTACCATTTTATCCACTATACATGTAAATCGCAACGTCTGTTTAGCAAATATGTGCTCTCTCATGTGCTTAAATTCTCACTTGTGAGGAAGACGTTTTTGCAAAATATTATGCAAAAATATCTCGTCACGAGAAAAATTCTAAAAAAAACAGCATTGAGATCTAATGGACAATAGATTTGGGAGTATATTCTGTGATATCCCTGGGCTGATGTCCCTGCATTCATGATAAACTGCGTCAAGATGTGCTATATCTAGAAGAAACAAGATCCCTTTTCATCCCCAGGTCTTCATCATACTTTTTGCCATCTTAAAATGGGATTCCCTGTATTGTCTAAGCTTGTGACTATAGCAAAGCCAATACAAGTGATTAAATTCATTAAACATTGATGATTGAGCGATGGTGCAAGCTCAAGAATTCTAGAAAAAAATGTGTACATAATTTCCGGACCTCAGAGAACAAACTTCCGGCTTGTTATTCATAATAAAAAAAGAACTTCGTCGGGGAATCGAACCCACGCCGCAGAAGTGAAAAGCGAGCATCCTAACCACTATACCAGAATGTTTTTCCATGAGTGGATAAAAAATTTTGAAACTCCATAGTGATAAACATGTGTGAAATTTTTTAAGTGGCATTCTGGGTTGAAAAACTTTCGAGAGTGTTGTTTTATTGTTTAGATGACTTCAATAAAAAACAATATACAGTTGGGGACATAAATAAATGACAGGTGGATTTGCTCAAGTGAGGATTTCCCATGTTAAAAATAAGAGAATTTACAAGAGGCCATAAATCAGTGGATGAGATTATACAAAATGTAAAATATACAAATTTTAAGGGATATGTATCTAGACAATATTGGAAATTATGGGCTTTCAGACCACCATAATTAGGAAATGGTGATCGAAAATCGACCTGTCATTTATTTTTGTCCCCAACTGTAAACACGGATTATAAACACAAAGGCTCTCTAGCCAAAACACTGTGTTCACAGCTAAATAGCCTTAAATTTTAAGGCTCTTTAGCAATTTGGCTAAAGAGCCTTAAATTTTAAGGTACTCTAGACCACAGTCAGCACTATCAATGGTATATTCTAAAAATATAGGGAATATAATAGAGAAAAGTCCATAAGGCGTTTGTGACAAAATTTCACGGAAGTGTTATATTTCCATTTATCGTTCAAACTGAGACATTTATGCTAATAATTCGACGTGTATATGATTCTTACATACCCAATACGATCAAAAATGTTACTAACATACCAAATGAAAGGTGATTTCCTGGTCAAACTTGCAAAAGTTGGTCCAAACTCGCACTTGAACCGAATATTTACCGGAAGTGTTTATATTTCCATTTGGGTGTCACTACGGTAAATCATTGAAAAATATTGAAAAATCACAAAATTCAGGTTCTGGGATACATATCGCCCACCGCCCCCCCCCCCTCCTAATCCGCCAGTGGAAGGTTTATCACTTCAATTATTTTCAAGCCTTGGTCAAAGTAAAACTACGAGGCTCGGTTTTTCATTAAGGGAAGTACTTTATTCCCATGATTCAAAGTGCTTTTCTGCCATTGGTTCGGTTTAAGTTTGTACAACAAACGTCCACGAATCCAGGGCAGGTTGACATTATATCATTATATTTGTTTTGGGTGTATAGTTTTTGTTTTGACAATAAACAAAAAAAATCCCGCAATATATGGTGCATCATGGGTAGGACACGCTGTGAAATATGAACGTAAGTGACATCTATGTCAAATTAAATGTTCCTACAAAGTTATTAATCGCGCATGCGTCATGATAACTTAAACCAATCAGATTACTGGGTTTAATGCGCACGCGCCATAAACCGAATACTTTCCCGGGATTCGGGCTTTAGGATACGATTTTACACTGACCGATTGCAAACGAGATTTAGCGAGATGAAGCGGTTGTGAAACCAAGATGGCAGAAAGTTTGTGAACTTCTAGTATTATTATATCTTACGGTAGAGTATACCATTGATAGTGCTGACTTTGTCTGACCCATATTCTCCATGCTGTATTACCCAGGATGCATCTCTGAGAAGAGGAGATTTGGATAGAGATTTAAACGAGATTTAGCGAGATGACGCGTTTGTGATACTTTTGTTGAAGAATGAGCACATTTGAACTGATTTCTACGATCTCAACGTAATTTGAGGTATGGACTTTCATTTTTAATAACACCTTGGTGTCTTATGGACCTTCGTCACTAAAAATAATAGGGAAACACTTGTGTAGAAACGTCGAATTCTTAGTCTGAAAAGTAGGGTGTCTGTAATTTTATAGAAAAATTGCCAAAAGCTTATGAACTTTTAGCTCTTACTACCACTACTTACCATTGAGAGTGCTGACTTTGCTCTAGACACTTCGATAGACTAAATCATGTGGGTGATAATTGACCATTTGAAAAACGTGCAATCTTATCATCTAGCAATGAAAATGTGATTGACAAAATATTGTTGGTTATTACGCACAACGGTCATTCATAAATTAAAATAAATGTCTCTAGGCTAAGGAAAAGAGTAAATATCAAATGATGCAAATGATTGCAATTTTTGTAAAACAGAAAAAATCAAATTTCGCATTCAAATTTATTTTTCAAGAAAACTGGGTCGTGTTGAATATTTATATTGATCGTGCATCGAAATAGTATGGTAACGCATGATAGTTCATGTTTTTAGAGAATTCGCACCCATAGTTCGATAATAAATTATGATTTTCTCACCTCGTGCACGACCGGATCTTCTTCGGCATCCATTTTAGCGCATGCGTACAACGTATGACCTTGAACTATGACCTCATTTTAAAAACATGGAAGGGGCAGGAAATGAAAACTTAGATGAAAGATCTGCTCTTTTAACAGTCGAAAATAGTTCAGATTACACTGGAGGTATAACTGTAAGTACCCAAGGTATACAGCGTCAAATATGACTTATCTCTCCATCGTCACATGATTGATATCAGAAAGAAAACATGTCTTGATGTCATGTGACTCAGATTTTTTTCTGAAATTGAAATCAAAAACTGCACAACAGGCACTTTTTATTTATATAATTTGAATTTAGATCTATTCAAACACGTGTAAATATATGGAGTTATTTTTATACTTTTGGGACAGTCCAAATCTCAATCGTCTTTAGTCCCATATATAATTATCCAAATCCCAATCATCCAAGTCCCAGTCCCAATTGTACCAATTCAATTGTTCCGAAATCCAATCGTTCGAATCCCAATGGTTTAAAATCAAATTGTCTACATCTTGCTTAGTAGATCTTACGCTTATTTAATATCTGAATGTGGATTAACATCACGTTATTTGATGTGATTATTTAATAAATCAGGCCTTGACACACATTTTTTCCCTGGTGCCAAAATAACTACCTGGCAAATTTGAAGTAGTTATGCTTCCCTCCTGAAAGGTAATTGTGTATTTTAAGACTATAAAATAAGTAAAATGACATATACATGTACCATCATATGCATGTTTATATTGTTTGTTTTTTGCAAATGTATTCTTGCCATTGTAGCCTAATAAAGTGCCAATGCGCACATATTATGAAAATAATTTGACTGGCTGCAATGAAATTCATATCACCTTTTTTGGATGTTATAGTAACCATATCTCAATTAATATTTCTGTAATTTATAAACACTGAGAAGAGTGTCGCCCCATATTTAATTGCAAATTTGACTTGACTTGTCACTTTATTTTTGGGCATAATGGTAACAATATCCTAATAAAGATTTCTGTGTTCATGTAAATGTGATGTAATGTAATGTTATTGTGTGATAATGTATTTGACAGCTATATTCTTTGAAGATTTCTGCTACGAACGAAACTGAAGAGTTGCACTATAATTGTAGTTAAAATCTGTTTATTAGAGACATTCATCAGGGATCCCCCTCCCCCAGTCTCACTCATTGACAACTTGAAATTCTCTCATAATATTAACTTTGTATTACATGTAGAGCATGCCTTACATAATAAATGCTGATCTTTCAGGCCAGATACACATTGAACTCAGAGAGAAGGTACACACCACCACCCCCAGTAGGAAGTGATACTCAGCCAGAGGAAGAACAACATTGCGATACTCAGCTATTGGATGTAAAATTCAAGGTACATGTAAAATGTATTGTAAAGTATTGATGTGCATCTTTAAAGAATTATTAGAATTTTTGATAAAATGCAATAAGAATAATATTATTGGATATTTTGATTTTTCAATCTGGAACAAACATATGCAAATTGCTCAGTCTGTAAATGCCTGCTTCTGAAATAACTTATTATACATGTACGTACATGTACTGTTATTCTCATAATAACACAACTTCCCAATGTAGTTTGATATTTTGTATATTTTGATATTTTGTAGAGTTTAAACTATGATACATGTGAGAACACACTGTTTAGAGATGAGGAAAGTGCCAAATCATACAAGGTGAGTGACTCATACTGTAAATCGCTGAATTACATTTTGATAATAATCAATTAACATAATTGTCACCTTCACTGAATGTAGATTATTTAAATTGTCTATATACTGAAAAGAACCAATCCTAAAATTCACATCTTTGTTCACTTGGCTCTGATTTGAAAGCAATGAAGACTGTAAGTGTGAAGATGAACGTTCAAACATTGTGCGCTGTCTGTCTTTAATGCTGCCACTTACAGGGAATATTGCTTTACTAATTTTGAAATATTTTCCAGGAGGTTTTGCGACTTCAGATGTCAAGATGGCTGGTGATGTTTCTGATTGGTGTTTTCACTGGCCTCATAGCATGTGGTATAGATGTTTCAATCAAATACGCATCAGCTTTAAAATACTCCACTATTAAACACTGTATCCTTTTAAGGAATATATCGGGGGTACTTCAGGCTTCAAGGAATGATACACAGGATTTGTGAGATGATACCTAGGCTATATCTATGGGGATTTCATTGTTGATATGGTTTGACATGCACATATTGTACTATAAAAAGTCCCTTGTGTATCTTTTAAAATAGTCACATATGAATGCTGAAAAGCTAATACATGTAAATACATTTGTATCCTGTTTGTATTTTTGCTAGTTCCTTTGAAATCATTTATTAATAACATATACCTAGGTCCTTTATAACCAAAACCGTTTAAACACTTGTGTTTACTTTAACTGTTGGAAGACATGGATGAATGTATTAAAACTAATTGTAACAGTATACCCCTATTACTGTGGATAGCATGGAATACAAGTGGGGTCTTGATAGCAGCTATACTAGTTGTATATGTGGAGGTAATGCACCTGATCAGATGAAACATTTTAGTCTCATATCATTCAACTACTCATGTGTTAATTGTTCATAACATGCAGGTTCTTATGTGTTATTCTGCTGATCACATTGTTTTTAACGTGTTCATAACTTGCAGATCGATCACATACATATTATTAACTTGCAGATACTCATCATATACATACTGTTCATAACTTTCAGATACATGTGTGTTATTTTACTCATCACATACAATTTCTTACCAATACTTATGTGTTATTCTACTGATATTCTACTGATTGTATTTTATTCATCACATACAATTCGTTCATATTTTGCATGCTTTTGTCTTGTCTTATAGCCAGTTGCCATGGGTAGTGGAATACCTCAGATAAAGTGCTACCTCAATGGGGTGAAGATTCCACGTGTTGTCAGACTCTGGACTCTGGTGTGCAAGGCAGTTGGTGTGATAGGATCTGTAGTGGGAGGTCTGGCTGTAGGCAAGGTATGACCAATGCATTATTATTCTAAGACGGGTGCTTGAATAACACCCGTGCTATTAATCAGGGGGCTATTAACAGAAACTTCTTAAAGATAAGAATTCGTAAAGTCCATTGTTCTCTAACTGTGACGTCATTATATCCATGGTAACAACAATTGATTTATGAATTCGTAACTTTACAAAGTTTCTGTTAATGGCCCACAGGCGATCTGTCCAATGTGTTTGTGTCCAAATTTTCAATTTGCAGATTGACTAGCCTAGGCTGATTAATTTTGTCTGAGATTGAATAATAAAAAAAATAAATTGGGTAAGATTTTACAGTAGTTGAGACAAGAGGCTCCAGCACCAGATGCTGTTACATACTTTTAGACATACTTTTGGTTTAGGCATGACCTTGTCCAAAGACATCTGTGTTATCTTAGACTTTATCAGTATGTACTTCAGTTCTTTTGACGCAGGTCAATGATGTCCCTTCCAGGATGTAAAAAGACAAAAGAGTCCAAAAACTTTTTTTTCATGGTTAGAATGTACATTTATGTCCAAAGCAATAATATTCTCACGAGTGTCATAAATTGCTGTTCCAGGAAGGTCCAATGATCCACTCTGGAGCAGTGGTAGCTGCAGGTATATCACAGGGAAGGTCTACAGCATTTAACTTAGATTTCAAGGTAAAATATAATACACATCCATGAAGATGACTAAGAACTGTAGTTACTCCTGCTATAAATCAACAAATACAAGAAACTACTCTTAAATTTGATAAAAAACTGCTCTTGTTCAACAGAATATGAATGTAGAAAGATATAATGGATCAAAACAGAAAATGTATTACAAAAGTGGCTGTCTAGGTACTAAAACTGATGTATGTCTTTCAGATATTTGAATATTTCCGCACAGACACAGAAAAGCGAGATTTTGTGTCTGGTGGTGCAGCTGCAGGGGTCTCTGCTGCATTTGGGGCACCAATAGGTGGCGTCTTGTTCAGTCTGGAGGAGGGGGCAAGTTTCTGGAATCAAGCCCTAACCTGGAGAATTGTAGGATTTCATTCATTATTTTTCTTCTGCTTTATTTAATTTCACAGACTTTGTCAATTGCGAAAATAATTCAATATGTTCTGAGCTTCAGTCTAAACGCTGTGTCACTTTCATGTTATCTCTTACCTTTCAGTTGTTCACCTCTATGATCTCTACATTCACACTGAATGTGGTGCTGAGTTATGCCAAGGGAGAACCATGGAACCTTTCTAATCCCGGCCTCATCAACTTTGGAGAATTTAGTGTAAGTAAACCAAGCTAATTATTAAGTATAAAGTTGTGATAATTTTAACTGATATTAGGCTGATTTGAACTTCTTTCAGCATATTTAAAACTATCTTCATATTTTGTAGAAATGAAAGAAAACAAGTCAAGAAAGACACATAACATAATTTACTTGAAATTTTACAAAAATAAAAACTGATCTCTTCAACTTAGGTACATAATTACTTTCCCGAAGTGGAGTAAATATTTAAACTTTGATTTCTAAATATGTTCATCCACATGGACATTATTCGATTATTCAACCTGACTTATGATGTTTCAGTGACCATTAAGACATTTTTTTGTTTATTTATTTATTTATAAAGCTATACGTAGATATGTGGCTATGAGCGTGTTAATTTGTTGAATAGATTATGCACTATTTTAAGTTTGTCAAACGGACTGGCTCTAAGGAGGTCTTTAAGGAGGTTGTCCCGCAAATGACTTTAATCATGACCTCTGTCCCCATTCACTGTCTTTTAAATCACACACTTATTTCTTGTTTTTTCAGAACCTGAGTTATGACGGCTTTGAGATTCCAATATTTATTCTAATAGGTGCAATGGGTAAGTTCCTTGTCTGTTCATTTAACCTCTTGACTGTACCCAGAGTGACTATATTTCTCAGAAATGACCTTGAAACCCAGTGACAAGATAATATCTCTTTTCAACCAATTTTAGAGCCTCGGATTCAAGAGGTCTACCCTAAATATATTAGTACTTCAGAAACATATCAATTAGTATGTTCCATAATTCCAAAACTGAATATGGATCCATGATATTTAATCAAATGAGGAAGATGCATATTGTATGATAGAACCCTATATATTTTTTGTCACTGTTTGTAAGATTTCAGTATAAGTTTTCTTACTCATTCAGCCATGAGCCACATTTTGAACGATGCAGAAACATAATTATTCATTTATCAGCCAAATCACTAATTCTGCTTAACAAACTTCTAAGATATAATGTATAATATATGTTTTTATTCTTATATTATCTTCAGGGGGACTATTTGGAGCGTTGTTCAACCATATCAACTATAAGCTATCTGTATTTAGAAAACAGTGAGTAAAGTACGCTTTAAAAGTACGCTTATGTAATAGTACAGGAAAACCTGTCTACAGTGAACACCCATGGAGTCACAGAAATGTGTTCACTATAGGTAGGTGTTCACTACAAAGAGGCATTTTTGTACAGAAGTCAGTGAAGAATGTGCTGAGAAGAGATGTGCACTAGACACAGGTGTTCATAAGAGACACGTGCTTATATTAAAAATAGGTTTTCTGTACTATATTTCTTTAGATTAGGTCAAAACTCGGATAGTGTGCATTAGGTACCTGTAAAGCAGCATAAAATATTTGAGCTTAACTTCCCTTCAAACTATGTCAAACAACCTTTTAAAACACTTGGCTGTGTAGGTGTTCAAAGATTTCTGTTACAGTAGTATCACTAGCTAGATAGTAAAGCTATGCTCATATAGGTACAGTTTTTTCATCAGGTGATTTTATTGCAGAACCCCTTCCCTGTTATTCAGACTAAAATATAAAATTTGTGTTTTCAGTAGGCTTGTCCAAGATTGCGTCCCTGGGATGTACTGATTTTCAAAAAACTGCGTCCCTTGAAAAAATGTTCCCGGGAATTCAAAGTCACGTTTTTACAATGGACGAAATAAAATACATGTATCGCTTTTGATATTTATCAGTCTAAAAAAACAGCATTCTAGCAAGTCTAGTATGTCATTGAATGATACAGATACCATCACTTTTGATGTATAACTTATATTCAACTATTAAACATACATTTTCTTTGCATATTTTGAGGCAATTTGCTTTTGATGGCTCAGAAATATCTTGCTTTAGGAGCAATCTGCTCAAGGTTCCATTTTTTGGTTCAGTTTCTTGCGCATGCGCATTCTGAAATAATGATCATGTGATCACACTTGACCAATAGAAAATGGTTTGAATCAGGTCTTGAGCTAGTGGCCAATCGTAGGACTCTTACTGATTACTGCTCAGTAATCAAGTATTGGATAACTATTTGTCCTATCACATGCCTCGTACTATTTTGTTCAGGAATCAACTCCCGAAAGAAAACTTGAACAAAAATTACATATCTTTTAGAAATAGAATTTCCTTCAATTATTTAGTGGATTCTGACAGAATAAAGAGACTCAAAGCTAAGATCTTTATCAAATCATTCATCCAGAAAGTTGATTTTATGCGTATGACTTGCAGTGCGTCCAGAAAATGCATTTCATTTTTATTTCCGGGTCCAACATTTTTTCTTTGCTTTTTTCAATGCTTTGGTGGTATTATTGAAAACACAGAAAATGGGTTTATATGATAATTTTTATTTTCATCTTAGATTTAAGTTTAGGGATATACACTTTTTAATTTGTTTAAATAAATTTTAAATTATGAACCTATACTGTGTATATGAAACCATGGGTTGGCTTTGATTTATTATGTCACCACCAGAAATGGTGACATATTATTATGGTCTTCATCTTTTTGTGGATGGTATTTGGTGACTGGTGTTTGGTGGTTGGTGTTCAGCATCTGTCACATAGCAGGTAGCGACATTTAGCATGTTTATGACTTGTAATGCTTACAGTTCTTCCATAGTTCATCATTATCCCAACGAACGAAGTTCGGTAGGGATATAGTGAAGCCCTCCGTCCGTCCGTCAGTCCGTCAGTCAGTCAGTCCGTCCGTCCGTCCGGAAGATAACTCAAATATTAGTTGACGGATTTTCTTCATATTTGGTGGAAAGATGTATATTGATGAATTGTTTTAAGCAAAAAAAAATTTTCAAGATGGCCGCCGCTTTAAAAATGACGGGACTTTTTCGCAAAAATCATAAATTTTTCATTCTAAACCAAAGTAATTAATATTATTGTTTGAAATTTTGGTAGTATATTCGCAACATCTATCTATTTCACATATATTCCGCGTTCCGCGGTCAGGAAAACAGAAATTTTCGCTAATTTTTAGACCTTTCTGAAGTATAGGTTTATTATACTCAAATGAAAGGCAATTAAGAGTAGATTGCAAATATTGTATCTTTTTTCTGATTCGAGCCTCGTAAAATTCAAAATGGCCGTCTAATGTACGATTTCGCAATCATTTTTCGATCCCTTCAAAGTATGGCTATATTATACTCAAATTGAAGGATTTGTACCTCAGAAAATTCAAAATGGCTGCTTTGCAGGAATTCGCAATTCTAAAATCTAAATTTTTCAATTTTAACCAAAGTAATGAGTATAATTGATTGGAATTCGGTAATTGATATTTTGTTCGTTGGGATTTGCTACTCCGCGGAGTTGCCATTATCTAGTTAATATTGTTTAGTCAAGTTTGCTTTTTCCAAGATTTTTAAAGAACGTTATAGTCTTCTTGATCATTACAATTACAGTTATCCCAATAACAATGCACGCGACACATGCCAATCCTATGATATCCAATAAGAAGTATTGAAAGAAATTCAGTTCATTAGCTGCATGGGATCGTAAATGGGGTGCACCCTTGTGGCGTATTACATATTCAGCCCAGTAGATGACTTTATCTCGAGGTGGTATTGGTTGATCATGGTATATCGCAGCAGCTTTGTTAGCATTCTCCTTGTATGTCCTGTCTTTAATCACATCCTCCATGGCATGCTGGAGTTTCTCACTGGTGATGTCTTTCAAGGAGACTGTTTTGCCTGACTTAATTCTGTCAGAGAGTAATCTGCAGTTGTAAGGTTGATCCCAAAAGAATGGGATCCCAATGGTTGGTAGAGCATTATTCATAGCTTGGAATGTTGACGCAGCCCCACATTGGGTAACAAAAAGCTTAGTTGCTGGATGGTTCATTAAATCCTCTTGTGGTATCCATTTATTTACAATAGTGTTATTACCAAGGCCTTCTGGCTTAGGGCCTTCGTAACTCCATATCACTGTTTGGGGCATAGCTGCAAATGCTTTGGCAAATATAGAACGAAGTTCAGGCCAGAGTCTACGAAACATTGATCCAAAGCTCACAACAATAATTCCATTATTTCCAGCTTGTTCTATGATATCTGCATAGTGTTGACTCAAAGGTTTTGGTTTGTCCATGAAAAATCCCTCTATAGATATGACGTGTGGCATGAAGGGGGCTGGGTAATGCAGGGCATCATTTCTGTTGATGAACACCAATGAGACAGTCTTGGGTGAATCACGGATGTTATCACAGGCATCCCCATAGCCAGATTCTCTACAAATTCCTATCATTTTTTCACAAGTACCTGATAAAGTTTCTTGTAGATGAATATATTCCCAAACGTTTGAAACTCTTTCAACAAAGGACATTGAATCTGTAAGTGGTGTGAGAAAGGCAGGTACAAAAGCAAGGTTAGACCTTTGTACATACCCAAGATCAAAAGACATTGGTCCCCAATTTACATATGCAATTAATGGAATATTGAGACTGGCGGAAACCAAACGTGCGGAAAACATTCCTTCATCTGCTATGATAAGGTCGAAATGTCCATTTGCTATCTGGTCCCAGACCTTGAGGGATTGAGAGAATATAAAACAACTGAAGTCCCTGTGTTGTTTTATATTCTCAATCACACTAACTTCCATCATGCTATTCAACCATTCCTGATTGAGACTGTTTTGATCCATCACAGGCATGGGGTAGCGTATTATTTCAAATGATGTTATACTGTTCTTTTCTGCCATTTTGTACAATGCATCTTTTTCAATATTATCAGAAACCATCATGGTAATTTGATGTCCTGCACCAAATAAATTCTTCCCCATCTTAAGCATGTTCATTAGCCTGCTGTTGTACCCAAAATCCATTGGCATAATCAAAATTTTGCTGCACTTAATTGTCGCACAGCACAATGACAATAAAATCAAAAATTGTGTGACATTCATTGTTGATTTTTTTCTCAACTAGAGAGCTTCAATACAGTGTCTCTTATACAGAAATCACATGTGATATCCACATGTACATGTAATGTACTGATTATTTGGAGACATGCACTATCACAAGATAACTCAAGTGGCCTATTGACCTTTTGAATCCCAGACTCTAAAATCAGTCTGAAACCAGAGACACTGTATACACAATGAAGAATACTGCTTGCAAATGCTTATACACTAATATATGCAGCTGCATGTATGGCTGTCATTTTTATGTGTGTTATTTTATGTTTTTTTATTTTAACTCAAAAAGTAATAGAATGATTTTGTTCATATATTTATACTCATAAGTATGGCACACTGTCTTATGACACTTTGGCTATTAGGCAGCCATCTTGAAAATGGCTGCCATTACATGTACATGTGTGTGCGATTTTGTTGAAATTTTATATGTGCCTACTTAGAAGCATATTAAACTTTCTTTTGACAGTTATGCTTAAGTGAGCATCATTGTGAAAATGGTAGCCATTTCTGTGTGTGTTATTTACGATTTTTGCTAATATTGAAAACGTAGTATGAGGAATAATGACAGGCTGTTCAATGGGATTTGCTATGCTTTGGCGTTGCTGTTATCTAGTTTGGGATAGACAATTATAAGCAGGTGAGTATACTGGATTAAGAAACAGAAATTAAAGCTGATTATATTTGCATATATGAGGGCATATGAGGAGAAATTAAGATATTGTTGCAACCTTCAAGAAAAATGTCATTTCAGTAGAAAGTTTAAAATGCCACACTGATCAAGTGACACTCGCAAAATTAAAAACTCACCAGGGAGACTTTTTGAGTTCAAATGAATACTATTTCAGTAACTGTACCATTGATATAGTTATCCCATCGAACGAAGTTCAGAGGGATAAGGGAACGCCTCCGTCCATCCGGGCAATAACACAAATACCGTTGGCCTGATTTTATTCATATTTTGTACACATTACCCTATGGGGGTAGAAGTTCTGCTCGAAAGCTGATTTTCAAAAAGGCTGCTCATTTAAAAATGGCGGCCATTTTAGTGCCGATTTTACAGTAATTTAGGTGCAATATGTAAAACTGTAAACGCAATATGTTTTAAATGTAAAAAAATTATATAGGTTATTAATAAAGCTAGAAATGTAGATATTTGCCATCTTGAAAAATGGCGGCCTTTACTCGTTATTTTACGATTTTTGCTGTAACTCGAAAAGTAGTGTGCCATACTATAAGCATGGCACACTGTCTAATGACACTTTTGGTATACACTTTTAACATATTTTACTAATCAACTCGAAAAGTAGTGGAGCAATTTTGTTTATATTCGGTATGTGAATACTGTAAGCATGGCTCACTGTCTAATGACACTTTTGGTAGAAGGCGGCCGTTTTGAAAAATGGTGGCTGCCATTTTAACTTATTTTTCTATAACTCGAAAAGTAGTGGAGTGATTTTGTTCATATTTGGTACGTGAATACGTATAAGCATGGCACACTGTCTAATGACACTTTTGGTAGAAGGCGTCCATTTTGAAAAATGGTGGACATTTTGAAAAATGGCCGCCATTTTAACTTGTTTTACTAAAACTCGAAAAGTAGCGGAGTGATTTTGTTCATATTTGGTATGTGAATACGTATAAGCATGGCACACTGTCTAATGACACTTTTGGTATATACACTTTTAACATATTTTACTAATTAACTCGAAAAGTAGCGGAGCGATTTTGTTCATATTTGGTATGTGAATACTATAAGCATGGCACACCGTCCTATGACACTTTTGGTAGAATGCGGCCATTTTGAAAAAAAATTGAAAAATGGCCGCCATTTTAACGTATTTTACTATAACTCGAAAAGTAGTGAAGCGATTTTGTTCATATTTGGTATGTTTCATATTTCATATGTGAATACTATAAGCATGGCACACTGTCTAATGACACTTTGTGTAGTAGGAGGCCATTTTGAAAAATGGTCACCATTTTTATGTTTTTTACTATAACTTGAAAAGTAGTGAAGCGATTTGGTCGTATTTGATATGTGAATACTCATGAGCCTTGCACACTGTCTCATGACACTTCAGATAGTAGGCAGCCATTTTATAAAAATGGCTGTCATTTTTACATTTTTTACTATAACTCGAAAAGTAGTGGAGCAATTTTGTTCATATTTGATATGTGAATACTTTAAGCATGGCACATTGTCTAATAAAACTTTGGGGAGTAGTCAGTCATTTTGAAAAATGGCCACCATTTTTATGTGTGTTATTTTACAAGTACATGTATGCGATTTTATAGGTGGCTACTTAAAAGCATATTATTTCTTCTGATGACAACTTGGCTAGTGAGCAACCATTTTGAAAATGGTGGCCTTTCTGGTGTGTTGTTTTATGATGTTTGCTATATATTTCGTTTGTAAAAATGCCAGCCATTTCTGTTCGATGGGATTCGCTACGCTTTGGCGTTGCCGTTGTTCTGGTTTTGTTTAGTACATACAAAGAATGATCTTATGTAAATTTCTAATATGAGAACACAAAAAATGTGTTCACCATAGGTAGGTGTTCACTACAGAGAGGCAATTTTATACATAAGTCAGTGAAGTATGTAGTGCTCAATCAGGAGTCTGCACTAAACACAGTTGTTTACTAGAGAAAGGTGCTCATCGAGACTGTACTGAACTATATTCCTGTAAATTAGGTCAAAACTTGCAAGTAGTTTACATTAGGTACCTACCTGTAAAGCAGCATTAATGATGTCAAATGGTGTCAAACAACTTTTATAAAACACTTAGCTGTGCAAAGTTCAAGGGTTTCTGTTAAAATTACAAGCAACATAATGAAAGCTATGCTCATATAGGTACAGTTTTTTCAAGTGCTTTTATTTCAGAACCTTTTCTCTGTTATTCAGACTAAAATATAGATATGGGTTGTATGATAATTTTTAATTATCATCTTAAGCCCAACATACACCAATGGGGCACAATGGGACCTCCATAGACTTAATATTACATGGGACTTCATTCGATTTTTGGGTCTCAATAGGGCATGGTGGGACTTGATTGGGCTACATGAGGCAAAGTTAACGAGGTCTTTGTGGGATTCGATGGGGCAAGTTGAGATTCAATGGGGCTTGGACTCAATGGGGCAAATGGGAAATATATTGTATATTGGGCTTAATATTAGTTCAGGGCAGGTAGTGACATTTTGCATGGTAATGGCTTGTAATGCTTATAGTGCTTCTATGGTTTATCATTGATGATTTTTAGTCAAGTTTTCTTTTTCCAAGATTTGTAAAGAAGCTTATAGTCTTCTTGATCATCAAAATTACAATTATCCCAACAATAATGCACATGACACAAACCATACCTATGATATCCAGTAAGAAGTATTGGAAGAAATTCAGTTCATTAGCAGCTTGGGAGCGCAAATGGGGTGCACCCTTGTGGCGTATTACATATTCAGCCCAGTAGATGACTTTATCTCGAGGTGGTATTGGTTGATCATGGTATATCGCTGCAGCTTTGTCAGCATTCTCCTTGTATGTCCTGTCTTTAATCACATCCTCCATGGCATGCTGGAGTTTCTCACTGGTGATGTCTTTCAAGGAGACTGTTTTGCCTGACTTTATTCTGTCAGAGAGTAATCTGCAGTTGTAAGGTTGATCCCAAAAGAATGGGATCCCAATGGTTGGTAGAGCATTATTCATAGCTTGGAACGTAGATGCAGCCCCACATTGGGTAACAAAAAGCTTAGTTGCTGGATGGTTCATTAAGTCCTCTTGTGGTATCCATTTATTTACAATAGTGTTATTACCAAGGCCTTCTGGCGTAGGGCCTTCATAACTCCATATCACTGTTTGGGGCATAGCTGCGAATGCTTTGGCAAATATAGTACTAAGTTCAGGCCAAAGTCTACGAAACATTGATCCAAAACTCACAACAATAATTCCATTATTTCCAGCTTGTTCTATGATATCTGCATAGTGTTGACTCAAAGGTTTTGGCTTGTCAATAAAAATTCCCTCTATAGATATGACGTGTGGCATGAAGGGGGCTGGGTAATGCAGGGCATCATTTCTGTTGATGAACACCAATGAGACAGTCTTCGGTGAATCCTGTATGTTATCGCAGGCATTCCCATAGCCATATTCTCTACAAATCACTATCAATTTTTCATATATACCAGACATTGCAATTTGAAGGTGAAAATATTCCCAAATGTTTGAAATTCTTTCCGTGAAGGACATTGTATCCGTAACTGCAGTCATGAAGGCAGGCACATAAGCTAGATTAAACCTTTGCACATATCCAACTTCACCAGACATTGGTCCCCAATTTATGTATGTAATCAATGGGATATTGAGACTGGCAGAAACTAAACGTGCGGAAATCATTGCTTCATCAGCTATAATTAGGTCGAAATGTTCATTGGCTATCTGGTCCCAGACCTTCATAGAGTGGGAGAATATGAGACAATGGAAATCCACGAGTTGTTTTATACTCTCAAACACACTAACTTCCATCATGCTGTTTAACCAGTCCTGGTTGAGAGTTGTTTGATCCATCACAGGCATGGGGTAACGTATTACTTCAAATGATGTTACACTGTTCTTTTCTGCCATTTTGTACATTGCATCTTTTTCAATATTATCAGAAACCATCATGGTAATTTGATGTCCTGCACCAAGTAACACCTTCCCCATCTTAAGCATGTTCATTAGCCTGCTGTTGTACCCAAAATCCATTGGCATAATTAGAATTTTGCTGCACTTAATTGTTGCACAGCACAATGACAATAAAATCAAAAATTGTGTGACATTCATTGTTGATTTTTTTCCGACTGGAGAGCATCAATATTTTATACAGTGTCTCAAATATAGAAATCACATGTGATATCTACGTGTACTGTACATGAACTGATGTTTTGGGGGCCTTTAGTGCACCATCTCAAGATAACTCAAGTGGGCTATTAATCATAATGTCTGAACATGTTAACCTTTTTTTAGCTTAGGCAATAAGAAAAAGATGTGTTGTACTTTGCTTCACATACTTGCAAAATCCAAACTGTGCAGGGGTACAAGGAAAACAAACTCAATACTCAGATTTAAACACAAAGTTAGTTTGGAAAATATCTACAATATCTGGCTACAGAAGAGAATTCAGTTACCTTTGCAGTATCTACAAACATTATCTGAATATCATTTTAACTTGTTTCTTGCATGTTCATGGTCTCGCAACCTATATGTAGCAAACTCCTCACACAGTGTGTAGAGTATTCTATTTCCAATGCTACCATGCCCAAACTCAGTACTATGAATTTCAATCGCCACTCTATGTATATTTAAAGCCCCCTTGGCATTTTTATTTGGCTTGATATGTATGATATTTGGATGTGTTTTTATTTTTTGATTAACTCTAAATCAAGCATCAAAGGGGATGTAAATCAAACAATCTACTCTTGATGGCCTTATATCATGGTACTTCATAACATCTTAAGTTTTTTATATGTACATGTCAGGGACATTGTTCATTTTGCTCTCAATCAAACTCTTTGTCAAAGATTTATTTTGTTGAATGCTCTGTTTTATGATTGTCAAACAAAAAAAACAATTTTGATTTCATTCCACAGGTTTAACATTGACTTATGTAATACTGTAATGACACAAAATGTCAATAAAAGTAAGTATATGGAAAAAGGTCAGTTGTTGCCACGCAAGGTACTTTTATTAACAACTGCATCTTTTGGAAGTTTTCTCATCTTGTGAGCCTGGGAGTTATATGGTGTTATTATTAATGTTTTATTTTAGGTCACAACGTTTAACATTTGCACCCAAACATTGTTATCTATATTTTGCTTGTGTGTTTATATTTACAAAGAGTTTTAATTAAACAAACAGCACAATGTTATCATCTTACCTTTGATTATCAGTTCTCATCCTTTCTTTTATACCCAAACATTTCATAATCACTGACATAAAGTTTTGTAAGTTTTTGTAGCAAATCGTTAGGAATCTCTTTATACGGGCCTTTACTTTGTGTTTGAGATATCCTTTTATTGCTAAAATCAAATGATGAGTGTTGTTCTAACAATGCAGAGGATTCTAATGCAGTCGCATTTATTGATATATTCTCTATGTTTATTGGTGTTATCATATATTCATGCATACATATGTTCCAAATGTGCCGTGTTAAGAACTCTTCATGCGTGAAAACTGATTCCAATGCATGTTTTCTTTCATATGCTTCTAGCGTCATTCTTCTTATGTTCTTCTTCTTTATGTCTGTTTCAAACCCAGAAAAAAGCTCCATCATGTTTGCTATCCCAGAGGTACATAGCGCATATTTTGAGTCTACGTCAAACGTCTCCATGTGACCTATGATGTCATAGTCTATGTTACATGGATGGCAGACATCCATTATTGAAGTCCAGTAGGGTTCAATTTCATTCGAGTTTTCAAAGTGATATACAACATATCTGAGGAATTCTTCAAATGTGATGTCGTGCCCATATCTGAAACAAATAAATGTGAAATATATAATAATTTTGGTGACACCTATTGTATTTTCAGTTTTGATGACTTTTAAACATTGTTTACAAAGTTAGATATACTATTGATGATTTAAAGATCTATGTACAATTTTCAAAACATGGATTGGTTTGAAGGAATCATTGATGGCATTATTGTTTACTTAGCTTTTAGCAAATTTTGATGGGTGCAAACCATTTAGTTTTTTAGTTTTTTTATTTTGGCTTTGATAACAAATGTATGTATTTTTTGTTCTCGTCAGATTTGAGTGTAACAACAAAACTGAACCACTGTGTTGCACTTTATAGCAAATTCTGCATTCTGCTATGCTCTGATATTTTATAACTAACTTACTGTAAAGATTTTTCAGATGGATTTTCCCTAAATTTCTGAATAGCTATCCGTCCATATTTCCAGTAAACATCATTGAAATTAGCAAACATCTCAACGTAGGTTGAATAAAGTCTTGACAGGGGATCCTCAGTGAAGACCACTTTCTTATAAAGTTTTAACTTCTCATCATTAACTTTGAGTGCATCTGTCCTCAGTTGTGGAAATTTAACATTGTTAGGTTCTAACATCTTCAGTGGGTTCTTCTCTGCTACTTTCCCTGTTGATATCAGTATAACTGACTCCCAAAATGTATCCCCACTGAGTAGGATAGGACATACTAACAATTTATGCTCATCATCAACTAGGAAGTCTACTGATGTTTTGTTTTGGTATTTTGCTGTAGATTTAAGTCTAGCGCATGTTTTAGATAGTCGATTTCTTCTTGCTTCTTGGACTTTCTCCAACCAGGGGAATGTTTCCCATGCACAAAAGTCCTGTTTAAGAGCTATTCGCACTATGTCTCTTGTTTCCTAGAATAAACAATATATGTTCTTATGTTATACAATATTTAAATGCTAGAAGTGTAATAAGCATTTGAAATATAAAGAGAACATTTAAGAGTTTCACCAAGAACATGTATAAAGACACACAAAAACAATGATCCCCACAACAAGATCTTGCTTAACAAGATGTTGAAAATATTTTTCTTACGTATTTCATGAAAATAATATATTTACTACAGATTCATCAAACATGGCTTGTTCAATAATTTAAAAATATGAAATACCTTTTTGTTTTTCCATCGTAGCTGTAAAGCAAGGAAAATGCCTGAAATTACAAAATCACTATAAGGAATACTGAAATTGGGAAATTCTTATTACCTGGAACTCCATTGCGTTTCGTGATTTGTAAAACACTTATTCAGTTTTAACATACTAAAATTTTTGCACATCATTTTTGCATTGAATGATATCTCTCAAGCAATATATCTACTGTATGTATACAGGAGGCTGTTTCTCGAAAGTTTCGTATTACGAATCATTAATTCAATTGTTAATAATGATTTTCCCATTTCTTGAAAGTTAACAATTTGCGATGACATCATGATAACAATTTATTCATTATCCATGATTGATTTTACGAGTACGAATGGGGGTCTCGTTATTCCATTAACGATGTGGTATCCATAGCAACGAATCCACGAATCGCTATCAACGATTCTTTAATAACGATAAGTTTCGAGAAACAGCCCCCAGTATCCATAGAAACGAATCCACAAATCGCTATCAACGATTCGTTAATTAGTTTCGAGAAACAGTCCCCAGTATCATTGAGACAGAATGTAAATTGAAAACAGAAATAAGAAAGATGATTCAGACTTTTTCAAGGTGCTATTAACATATCCTTCCCTTATCTTAATCAGAAATTGTAGATCAAAAATGTTATTGTACACCTACCTGCTAAAACACAGATTTGCAGCAATAAAGCCTTCGTATTCCTACATTTCAATAATCTATATAATATTTGTAAAGTCATCACTTATCCTTGTATTTCCTCAACTGATGTTGTTAGTTGACACATTTGAGTATCATTACAACACATTAGTTACTACATGTTTTACCTGTCATTCCATTTCATTGTAACGTTATAGATAGGTCAATGTTGTGCCTTAAGGCTTTACTCTGAACAGAGTGACTTATTCATATTTTTTAAGAATAAAACCTAGCAGACAAGCATAAACATCTTCTAAAGGTGACATAAACTCCACCTTGACCTTGGTAAATCCATACATCTTAAACAATGGCAACATTTGAGGAGAAAATACCATAGATTGTCTCATTTTAAATTTACTGCTGCTACATCTAAAATAGACTTGTATGGTTTTGGCTTTGATATCTGCTGTTACTGAATCAAAAGTATTATTCCCATCAATCAATTTGTATATCTGTAGGTATCTGTCTACTCTAAAGTGGCCAAATGTACTAGAAGCTGTGATTGTTGCCTCAATGTCTGCAGTTGCCGCATTCATCCTTATATTTACCATCACTTTGTATATCTGTAGGTATCTGTCTACACTAAAGTGGCCAAATGTACTGGAAGCTGTGATTGTAGCCTCAATGTCTGCAGTTGCCGCATTCATCCTTATATTTACCATCAATTTGTATACCTGTAGGTATCTGTCTACACTAAAGTGGCCAAATGTACTGGAAGCTGTGATTGTGGCCTCAATGTCTGCAGTTGCCGCATTCATCCTTATATTTACCATCAATTTGTATACCTGTAGGTATCTGTCTTCACTAAAGTGGCCAAATGTACTGGAAGCTGTGATTGTGGCCTCAATGTCTGCAGTTGCCGCATTCATCCTTATATTTACCATCACTTTGTATACCTGTAGGTATCTGTCTACACTAAAGTGGCCAAATGTACTGGAAGCTGTGATTGTTGCCTCAATGTCTGCAGTTGCCGCATTCATCCTTATATTTACCATCACTTTGTATATCTGTAGGTATCTGTCTACACTAAAGTGGCCAAATGTACTAGAAGCTGTGATTGTTGCCTCAATGTCTGCAGTTGCCGCATTCATCCTTATATTTACCATCACTTTGTATATCTGTAGGTATCTGTCTACACTAAAGTGGCCAAATGTACTGGAAGCTGTGATTGTAGCCTCAATGTCTGCAGTTGCCGCATTCATCCTTTTATTTACCATCAATTTGTATACCTGTAGGTATCTGTCTACACTAAAGTGGCCAAATGTACTGGAAGCTGTGATTGTGGCCTCAATGTCTGCAGTTGCCGCATTCATCCTTATATTTACCATCAGTAACTGTCGATCTTTAGGAGAAGATGAGAATGAAAATCCACTTCAGGTAAGAATAAAATATACTGGATATATAAGGGTTATGTACTGGGAGGTTTTTGATACAGGGTTTATCCCAAGGGAAATATGTATATTTCCCGCGGGATAAACACTGTATCCAAAACTGACCGTACATAACTGGTGTATCTCATACTTGAGTGGGTTTGGGGTAGATATAACCTTTACCACCTTTTTCAAATGACAAGATAGGCCTATACTGTAAAAGCACAATTTATATTTAACATTTTCATAATATTCCTTCAGTTCAATACAATAGAATTGTAACATTTAAACTTTTTGAAAAATTTTAAACTTCTGAAATTTAAATTTTAAAACTTTTTAAACTTTTTTAAACTTTTGAAAAAATTCCTGGGAGCGGGATGGATATATTATATCTGCCCGCATTCGGCCTAGAGTGGGACATATACAATATATCCTGCCCGCTCCTCAGATATGATATATATTCCCGGGTGATATCTACCCAAAACCCACTCACATATATACTCGTACATGTAACAAAAGAAGCACGGTGTTTGAAATAATTTATTATTGCATAATCGTTTGAAATCATTTATTATTGCATAGTTGTTTGAAATAATTCATTATTGCATAATAATTTATTATTGCATAATCGTTTGAAACAATATATTATTGCATAATCATTTGAAATAATTTATTATTGCATAGTCATTTGAAATAATTTATTATTGCATACCTAGGCCTTTGTGAAACAGTATGTCAATCTTGTAATCTATTTCAAATATGCTTTAATTGTCCCTAGTATTGATTCACAGTAAGAGAGAGGAAGAATTTATTTCACATATATCTTAATCAACATGAACACTGCTAATGATTATTTGTGTCTATGTTCCAGCTGTATTGTGAAGATGGCCAGTATAACTCAATGGCTACTCTTTGGTTTCAAACTCCTGAAGAAAGTGTAAAAAGTTTATTTCACAATCACCCAGGTAACCTGATTTTCAGATATTTAACTCAACAGACAATAGGAAAATTCACAGTTCATAGTGTTACTTCTAATTAATTTGTATACATTATGTGAGAACTGTTTATTTTAGTGCATATGTTTTCAGTATGTATATTCCATAATAATTTCAAGAAATCTCTTTTTAACCTTATTTTCAATTTTTGCTTCATACTTAAGAATGGCAAAATATATCTAAGAATTTAGGATATAAAATCAAAATCTACCAATAATCAAGCCAAAGTTTGAACTTAAAACGCTTCATAAAAATGCCAACTTTTAAACCTTATGATATCTCAAGATTGACCCTCTTAATATCCCATTTGTTTTGTTTTTCCAAAAATATGATATCATTATCCACTGTATTAATAATATCGTAATATTTCAGGTACATACAAGCCTGTGACCTTGTTGCTGTTCTTCACTGTTTACTTCCTATTAGCCAGCTGGACATATGGCCTCAGTGTGCCTAGTGGACTCTTCATTCCTTGCTTGCTTACTGGTGCTGCTTGGGGGCGCCTTGTAGGCATACTTCTCAGTCTGATTTTCCCAGATCAGGTATATTATAAACCAAAAATTAAAAATGGAACTTGAATTATTCAAAAAACTACAATATACAATTATTGACCTCTCCAGAGGTTTACTGTCAAAATTATATCCCGAGACTGTAAACCGAGACCGTAGGTCGAGGTTTACAGTCTCGGGATATAATTTTGACAGTAAACCGAATGGAGAGGTCTATAATTGTTTTGTTAGTCCGAAGAATATCTTAGATTTTTCTGACCCTTGAAGTTGACTTGAAGTTGGATCCAGACCCTCGAGACGTTCATGTTGTATTTCAGTATATCGGCAGTAAGTTCACTCAATGGAGTCAAATTACTCTCCTGGGTGAAGTCCACTAAAAGCTTTGTACAAAGTTTTAGATTTTTCTTCGTATTTTGACTGTCTTTACTCTCTAAGAGACTAATAATATCCTCATCTTCAACATTTTTGAAACGGCTAGTGCTAGCGGCGGCCATTTTATCGTCTGATAATGACGTCATTTTAGTGGAATGCTGGGAATATTATTCACCGGCAATGCATTGCGCGGTGTACAGTTAAAATTATTCACCGCTCGTTGACCAATCAAAATCGAGTATTTCAACTGAGGTACTAACAATATGTATTATTTTATGTATTTTGAGGCCAGGCACTCTGGTTTGGAATTAGCGATAATTCCCAGATATAATGTAATAGTCATCATCTTTATCATCCAATTGTAATTTTCTGTATATTCACTTGGAAAGTTTGAAATAGTATCATAGCTAGTCTTGCTCCAAGACTGTGTACCCCCCCCCCCCCTTTCAACCATATACTTCACCTTCCCAACACAGCACAGTAAAGTCCATAGGGGGTACACCGTCTTGAGGCAAGAATATATCATATCTTTTGTTATCTTTTAATATAATTTTTAACAATGGTACATTTAACATTTTCAGCCATGGGCAGATCCTGGTAAATATGCATTGATTGGGGCAGCTGCTCAGCTAGGTGGTGTTGTACGTATGACCATCAGTCTGACAGCAATACTTGTAGAGGCCACTGGAGATATAACATTTGGTCTGCCTATCATGATTGTGCTAATGGTGGCTAAATGGACTGGCGATCTGTTCAATGAGGTATGGACGCATGTTGCGCTACAGTCCTAAATGGACTGGTGATCTGTTCAATGAGGTATGGAAGCATGATGCTCTACAGTCCTAAATGGACTGGTGATCTGTTCAATGAGGTATGGAAGCATGATGCGCTACAGTCCTAAATGGACTGGCGATCTATTCAATGAGGTATGGAAGCATGATGCGCTACAGTCCTAAATGGACTGGCGATCTATTCAATGAGGTATGGAAGCATTTTGCGCTACAGTCCTAAATGGACTGGCGATCTATTCAATGAGGTATGGAAGCATTTTGCGCTACAGTCCCAAATGGACTGGCGATCTATTCAATGAGGTATGGAAGCATTTTGCGCTACAGTCCTAAATGGACTGGTGATCTGTTCAATGAGGTATGGAAGCATGATGCGCTACAGTCCTAAATGGACTGGCGATCTGTTCAATGAGGTATGGAAGCATGATGCGCTACAGTCCTAAATGGACTGGTGATCTGTTCAATGAGGTATGGAAGCATGATGCGCTACAGTCCTAAATGGACTGGTGATCTGTTCAATGAGGTATGGAAGCATGATGCGCTACAGTCCTAAATGGACTGGTGATCTGTTCAATGAGGTATGGAAGCATGATGCGCTACAGTCCTAAATGGACTGGCGATCTGTTCAATGAGGTATGGAAGCATTTTGCGCTACAGTCCTAAATGGACTGGTGATCTGTTCAATGAGGTATGGAAGCATGATGCGCTACAGTCCTAAATGGACTGGCGATCTGTTCAATGAGGTATGGAAGCATTTTGCGCTACAGTCCTAAATGGACTGGCGATCTGTTCAATGAGGTATGGAAGCATGCTGCGCTTCAGTCATTTTTCAGAATAATCCTTGGAATTTCTACAATAATGATATGATATCTCAATTTTTGTGCTTCCATAATTTAACACTCCCCTGATGCTTTAATTCTTTTTTATAACCCAATAACCCTGAATCAATCTAATGATGAGATGTTCTTTAATTCCAGTTTTGTTTATTCATGCCGATTATTTAAAATAATGGTACTCTGCAATGACGTACTAAATCCTGATTAAATCATGCTAATGAGAAGTGTTTGATATTTTAGGGTCTCTATGACATTCATATTAGACTGATGAGTGTTCCAATACTGCAGTGGGAACCTCCACCTATAACTTCTAACATACTGGCAAGGTAAGCAAGTCCTCTGGTATGGATTATTCTGGAGTTGGAAATCAATATACCATCGGAAGACACATCAGAATTTTTTTTTTTTACAGTCTCCAACATTTATGTGGATATTTTTCAGTAGTAGGTGTTCAAAGTTTGGCGTCTGTAACAATTTGCAAGTAAATTACTTGCTACTTCTTCATGTCTGCTCTACCCACTTGATATAATGAATATTATTATATTTAATATATTTAGAGGTTATGTCACTATCGTGGCATATATGCCCGAGGTCTCAGTGATATATGGCCCGACCTTGGGAGGGACATTGATCTCTGAGAACCGAGGGCATATGTGCCACGATAGTGACATAAACGATTTATAACATACCTATGATGATGTAGACTGGTCAGAGAGTACCGTTTTCTTATAGAATTGACAAACAAATGGATTGAAAATGATTGAAATGAGTTTAGAAAAATTGCTCGCACAGTTTTATCTTCGATTGATTGGCTATGACGTCAGCGCCTTGACCAATCAGAAAGTTAGCGGGCGCGGGCTTTTCAAAACTTATATTGGCCCGCTGTCTTGTGTACACTTTGCACTATACATCATCATAGGTATGTTATAATATACCATACTAAACTGTAGTGATGTGATGAGCCACCCTGTTAACACCCTGAGAACAATTGAGAGAGTTGGAAGAGTGGTGGATATGCTGAAGAATGAACCTCATGATGGTTTCCCTGTTGTAGAAGATGATTCAGAAAATGTAAGCTGTTATTGCCCAAATTTTAGTACATATAGATTTAAAAGATGAATAGAGATTATCCTCTATGAGGTTCAGGATATTGGGATTATCCCGAGGCCAATGTGATATATCTGCCGTAGGCGATTATGACGTAGCGGGCAGATATACCATATCCGCTCGCTCAGAGCGGGACGTAAAGCTATATCTGCCCACTGATGAAAATATAAGTTTTTACAAACCTGCTTGAAGTACCTGTAACACGTCCAAGTATGGGATAAATGGTTGTATATAAGAACAAAGACAAGAATATGATATGCATTTATGAAACCACTTATCTAAAGAACAAGTCCAATTTTAATATTCTTTCATGATGCATTAATCTAAATGTCCATATATTCATGTATGTACAGTACATGTACTATGATTATTACACTAAAATTGAATCTCACTTTACTGAAATCATATTTCTGCAGGATGGAGACCATTTTGGTAGTTTCCGAGGTCTTATACTTCGCAGTCAGCTTATTGTGCTGCTCAAAATGAAGGTGAGTCAACAGTAAAATACATTTCAATAAACAAAAAATATGTTTAGGTGCATTTTGTCAATCTGTTAAGGGTATTCTGTAGCTGACAATGAGCTTGCTAAAAGACATGAGTAAGTTCAAATCTCTGTCATTGGACCATGCTTGATGCATTAAGATACAAATGTTCTTTATTGCTTATTTTAATAAGTATTTTCTGTGTTTCAGATATTCTGTGAAGCAGAAAGTGAACAAACTGTCCGAAACAGATTTTCAAAGCTCAAACTAAAACATTTCAGAGAAGCATATCCCAGGTTCCCCAGTATAGAGGTAGCTATCTATGTTCCATCCTTTGTAAAAAATCTGCAATTTATATGAACATATATAGTGTTGGTAAGATTATGGATATATAATACTTTGTGTCATAATTTTTTTTTGACTGATGTATAATGTCCCTTTATTCCCATGGCTACTTCATATTTAATTCTCATAACACATGTTTTTGTGCTGATATTATAAAATCAGATAACTCAGACTTCACTTCAAATAAAGAAAATTATTTTCTCCAGCTAAACCTGAGAATTAAAATAGCCAGACATCAGATCAGTTTTTATGTCACCACCAAAAGTGACATTCGGTGTCTGTAACAAATGGCAAGTGGTGACATTTTGCATGTTAATGCCTTATATTCTACTTTTATAGTTTTAGTTTTATGTTGTTCATAGCTTCTTACATACAATACATGCAATGTGACACAGATTATATTGTAAAACAGGCAGAAATGAAGAACAGCATTGTAGTTATGTACAGGACATTACATCAACGGTACAGAAGATATGTATAAAGACGGTACATATAATTTTTATTTTTCAGCATATCCACATTTCTGCACATGAGAGGGATTGTTTAATAGATTTGACTCCATACATGAACCCCTCGCCATACTGTGTCAAAGATGTAAGTTGTTTAAATTATACAATCATCCAATATGAACACATACATAAGTATATTAAGCATTGTTTAGTTATGTACTAGTAAGAATAAATGCATGTGACAATGTGCATGTTAAAACATCGAACATGTGTATATACTTTGCACACATGTGTTATTTAGGACGAAAATATTGAGTTGAAAATTTATGAAATTAAGGTACATGTACATTAATAACATTATTATGTCACCACCAAGAAGTTTAACTTGATATTTCAGAGTGCATCCTTGCCAAGGATATTCCGCCTGTTCCGTGGATTGGGTCTACGGCATATCATCGTCATCAACAACCATTGTCAGGTATGAGAAACCATTGATAGATACTAAAAAATCAATGATTGGAAACCATTGATCAATGAAAAAATCATTGTCAAGTATCTGTTGAAAGCCCATGGCGAAACTATTGTCAGCCATGAGAAATTATCGGCACATATATGATAATGATTTTTGTCCTGTTTTGTACAGTGTAATGTGTGTTCATTTTTTGTATTAAACACTACATTTGTTGCAGGTTGTTGGCATAGTGACACGTAAAGATTTAGCGAGGTTTCGGGTGTGGCACCATCGAGGAAGGATGGGACTTGAAGAACTTCAGATATCTCAGTCAGTCAGGTCAACTAGATAAGACGTTCTAGCATGCAGTTTATATTAGGATCACAACAACGCATCAATGCACCCCAAACAAAAAGCTCATTTCATTTGCAGTGGGAGGGCTTATTATGATTATTCAGTTTGGTTCGGTTTTGCATTTTTACATTGTTTTCACATCAAGCAACCTGAAAAAAGATGAGTTTTTTTATGGGGAAGGGAGTAAAGTGAGAATTAATTTAATGGTTTGGCTTGTATTGTTTTCTTGATGTGATCCATTAGTTAATTTATTATCTGTTTTTACCAAAATTGTATTAAATGTGGTTATTTCATCCTTGGGGTTACTTTTATGCATCCTCTATTCTTTTGTGTATATAGTCAGTCAACCATGTTGCTTTAAATTCTCATTTTGGCAATTTTTTCAACAAAGCTGGCAAAAGCTTTCAAATACTTATTCTAAGCCAGTGTTGAAGCCCCATCGATGAAGTTGCCATAGAAATACAGAACAATTTCTGAGTGACTTAATAGTCACTTTTATGTTAATCATGATATATATCAATGGAAAGCCATCAAAAGCAATGCCATTGTGTAAATATGTGAATGAAGAGAGGCGAAATGAACAATGCAATGTGAAATATCACATATATATATACAGGGACTGAGGATATACTTTACTGGTTCTAAAGAAACAACCAACTTCATGTTTTATTCAATTGCCATAAAATTTTCTTTATTTTTGTACATATGGTTGTTTTTAACAACAACAAATGCAGGGATGAGATTTCAATAATACTCTACAGACACAAAAATTCAAAGATTTATTTAATTGATGTTTCAAGCAAGCAGGTTTATCATAAATACATCTTCTAAAGATGGCGCTAGCATAATATCCACTCCATGAAGATCTATACTGAAGAAGATACAAATCCTTGGAACATTTAATAGCCCTCGAGTGAGAACAATATTTTAGAAAATGCAATATATGCTTGAGAGTGTTGCTGAGTTATAATTTTTATACTATAATGATTTATACACTAACGCAATAGACTAGATGCGAGTAGAAATAATCTTGATTTACCTTATTAAAAATTCAAAATTCAGTCAAACTGATGTCATATTTGGAATCTACATGTAAAATTATTTGTAGAAATGTGGTTTTGAAATGAGTTTATCAATTTTGAAAATTTGATTTTCTTTGAAAATGTGACTTCTAGGTCGGGGAGATTCCCCATAGACCCCATGTTGTACAGTCACAAAAAAGTGAAATATGTTTTCTTGTGTTGGGCAGATAATATTTTCTTTTATCCCATGATTAATGTGTTATCTGTACAATAACAGCTATTGATATTTCTGATATTATTGAAATCCGTGTGATATTTTCCAGAAAATCGTTTATCAAACTCATATGCGTGTGATATCGTTTATCTCACGCATATCCGTGTGATATCACATTTGCATTTCGCGCCACAATATTGTTGGAAATTAGGTCAGATAATTTATTCTCTTTTGAGAAAATAGGTCCGTTAATTTATTCTCTTTAAGTTTCATTGGTGTATTGAATTACGATTGTGTATATAATTCGATTAGAAGGCTGCTTAATAACGATTAAAAATGGTATTTATGACGAACTATATCATGTACAGAAAGTAGTGCATATTACTGCGCAGTGAGTAAAGTACAAATCAAAATGGCCGGTGCAAATTCGTCTGACGAAGAATTGGCGAATTGTAATCATGGGATAAACCCAATATCACATAATTTCTCGTGATATCATTTTATCGCCTCGTAGATATCAAATATCAACACTCTTTCGCTTCGCTCACTCGTGTTGATATTTGATATCAACTCGGCGATAAAAATGATATCACTCAAAATGATGTGATATTCTGTATTTACTGGACATATTTTGATTTGTGTAACTATCAGATACATAAGGGTAATATGAAAAGTGAACCACTAAAATTGATGAATATTCAAGTTTAAGGGAATTTTGTAATACTCTGCCATGTTATTTCCCCCGAATCAGCCACCTGGTGGCAAAACTGGTAACTACCTACTCGCATCTGAGTAATTAATTGTATGTCTGTGTATTAAATGTCCCTGAACTATGTTATGTTAGTAAAAGGCTGGCCCTTTTTAATTTTATTATATTATCTGATTCATATATTCCAATGTTTTAATGCAATATTTTTCTGCAACAGATGGACAAGATCTGCAATTTAGAAAATTTTGACCAGTTGTTTATTTTAAGTGATTTTTGTTCTTAAATTGTGTTATCTTTTAATAGAATACTCAGTTATTATTTGAGTATGCTATTTTGGAAGGATGCAGCACTCATATGAACAATACTGAATGAAGTGTAAATAGCTATTGCAATATGTAAAACTACATGTAAAACTTAATAAATTCATTTTATACAAAACTTAATGTGATTTTTTAATAATTTCATTTATTTCATTTATTTATCATTTGTATTAACATTTCACAACAATTTCATTTAAAAAAACCCAAATTTCGTAAAATAAGAGTATTTGTATCTTTACTTTCCGGACACCCTGTATATACTAATAATCATTTAAATTAAGCCATACTGTTGAGAACTTCAGTTAAAGATGGTGTCTGCAGTGGGATGATATACATGTAATACTCGTGACTTGACTCATGAATATCTCCCACTTGTGCAAAAGGAAAGACCTTTACTTTTTAGAGGGTCTAAATATTGAAGGGCAAACCCTGTGTCAATGTGTTTGCTAAGTTTGGCCTTTAAAAGTGTGAAAAGATTATAATCAGGGGTTTCACTAGAATTTCTCATAACAGGCTAAATAAATGAAAACAACAGGCAAATTAATGGAAATCATAAATTCAACATGGAAAAGTTGATAAGTCCCTAAAAAAACAGGCGATTTTGTGAAAACAACCATTGAAAATCGCCTGTTGCCTGCTGCTAATGAAACCCCTGATAATAGGTCTGAGCATGGGTAAAGATATTTGATGGTCTACCCCTTACATGTTCATGTATATACTTCTGGTGTCTTTACATGACACTCTAATGTTTGGGACTAGTCTTCAATGTATGTATATTTATGTTCCTCTTCATCCTCAAGATATTCATATTTATGTTCCATTGATATTGTCCTTGGTGGCAGAGGAGGTGGGACGTCCCCATCAATATCTGATTCAGAACTTGGGGTGTCAGAATCTGAAGTATGGGAGTGCCGAAGTAGTGAGTTTATATAGTCTGGGTGGGGAAGAGGGGTAGGTGGACTCTTGCGTTTATGTGTACTTTTTGGAAAATGTCCAAAATGGAACCCGCCACTTTTACGTCGTATCCCACTTGTATCAGGCGTGTCTAGAGTAGCAACTGGAGTCCCATTTGGGTTTTGGTTCAGTTTTTCACTGGAAGTACCGCCAGTCATTTGTAGGGGCTCCAGGTACCCAGAATTCCCTTTATTAGCTTGTAGAATCTTTTCATTACTTTTAGATTTATGTACAATACTTTGGACAACGTTACGTACAAGATTATTGTAGCTTTGACATCTCGTCATTTCCGGTTTAGTTATGCTGTCAGTACTCAGCAATGATGCATTTGAGTTCTTCTTCGTTGAGATATAGTTCATTTTATCGACACTCTTTGAACGTATCCTACGATTAAGTTCAACATTAGGACTTTGGTTCATCATACAATGTATAGATGGCAGAGTTGTTTTGATCAGTTTACAAATCTCGACACCATGTTGCGTGTTGAACTGGAGAAGTCCATCTCGACATGTGCACTTTGTGGGGCATTTTCTCCCACCAAGCTCTAATTGAATTGTTATTACACTTCTATTTCCCTCGTCCATGTTAGTGATTGATCTAACACAAGTAAGGGGCCATTTCTTGACAATCTCCCTGGAGGTTGGATGCTTGAAGGAAAGGATAGAGTCCTGCACATGGAGGGTGAAGTTACCAACAAGATCCTGGAGATATGCTGCTGCTGTCGGGCGTGACTCAACTGCAAACCCATCTGAAATAACATAACATAATATTTTATTTTACATGTTTTGGAGGTATTAGTCATTTCTCATGTGTGAAAATATTTCCCACACATTATACTTTATAGTATTTTGGAATAATAATCATGTTCAGAATTCTTCCTTCAGACTAAACATGTTGGCTATTGTGTCTTCACCAGAAGTGGTGACATATTATCTAATGATTGGTAGAGACCGGATTCTTATTATCAATGCAATATTTTATAAGTCATTTGAAGAATGTATCCTATTTTCTTTACTTTATTGCTGTTTTTACTGTAAATGAAAATTGGATGTAGGATGTACGTTTGGCTCTATAGGGCATCAGTACAAATAAATCCTTTTTATCTATTATCTATTGTTATAGTCTCTCATTTTCTTGTGGCTGGTGTTTGGTGGTTGGCAATCAGCAGTTTGGCGTCTGTAACCAATTTTAATGACCAATAATTGCATGGTGGTGACATTTTGTCATGTTATGCCTTTGTAATCTGTATTTGAGTGCAGTTGAACTTAACTCAGTGTGTACCAGTTGGTTGTTTTCAAATGTTCTGGTTTTGTATTTCTGTTTGACAAATTGCATTACCTCATTTGATTTGATTGGTGAACAGGTGAAACAACAACATCTGTTGTACAATCAGTCATTTTGACTTTTAAAAAATGTGTAACATTCCCTTAAAATGCTTTCAACATAGAAATTGCTTCACAAATACCTGATAAAATACATTTAGCCAAAAATCGATCCACTCAAAATCGATTTTACAATATCAACTTACTTTCTAAATGAGCATATGGCGATTCCTTCTGGAAGAATTTACTGAGTCCTGCCTTGCTTGTTGGAGATGTTGGGCTGCTTCTGATCTTTTCACTCTTTTGGGGGTTACATTTTACACAGCCAGGGAGTGAATCGGTTGATGTCTTAAATGCTACCAACTCCAAAGCTGTCTTCCAGCTCTGCAACTCATTTTGGGTCTCACAAGCGATGTACATGGGACCATGACAACATCGGACTAGGATAAGAGCATTAGGGTGTGACTTTGATCTCGAGTCTTCAGTTAGGCGTATTACACTGCTAAGATCAAGTGTGTAAACTGGAGTTTTATTATTTGTGTAGTCTGTTTCTGTGTTGTAGACTTCCAGTCTTCTGAGTGTGTCAATTGTCTCATCTCTCAGCACCCAGAAACATTTCTGCCAGGTCTGCAAGTAGAAGATAATTGCATGATTAAATCTTTGTAAATGTTAATTGCTAAATAAGGGTTTTTACTATTTCCAGTATGGAACACTGAGGTATTGTGGAGGGTATGCCTTTTTCAATATGAGACACAAATGAATTGCCTATTTTCAATATGAGACACAAATGAATTGCCTATTTTCAATATGAGATGCAAATAAATTGTCTTTTCTTCAATATGAGACACTTAAGAGATATGATACTTCCTATATCATCCTTCTAATAATAGAGTATAGTGAAGAACAAACTAAGACAACCAATAATTTGTCTTGTAGTTTGAGAAAAAGGAATTTGATATCATAAGGAAGAAGTAATGAAATAAGATGTATATCTTTGAACTTAGAATTTCTCAATTTGAAAACTTTAAGAATGTTAGAAACCTTTAGAATGTCATGGCAACCAATGTATCATATGGCAACCATGTAGTACTTAAAATGTTTTGAAAGTAGAGGATGCTAGAGGATTACAATGCCAACTTTGATTACAGTCAGCCAAGGCAATAATAAAAATTATTGAATAATCACATCCTTATTGCTTATCGAGCATTAAACTCTAAATGACGGGAAATTATTTCTGAAAATAAACTAGTGATTTGACATTAAATAAGAGATTGATAGATGATTTGTATTTATTTGTCATTTTAGTTTTATAAAAAAATATATGTGTATTTGGGCTGATAATACTTGATTTCCAATAGTACGGATTTTATCTACTCTAGTATATCTGCCTCTCTTTTACAATTAGGTTTGCTTTGGGTGTTACGTAACTAGTAACTATGTAAATTGGTGTTACAAGTGTAAATAAGCAGGCAGGTTGATAGTTGTAAGCAGACCCAATTACATCATTCATCATCTGTTTCAGTTGAGTCATGGTAATTGCATATTAAGGATGCAAATTGTTTAATCTTCTCTTGTTCTGTCATATGGTTTCTATGATGCTATGAATTATTATGAAATATGAACTTATAATGCTGCATGCGTCGATATGTTGTAATGAAAATTAAGGCGTTTTGGGTGGGTGAATAGAAATATGATTATTTGCCTACTTGGCACCCTAATTGGATTCCTAAATGATTTGGTTGTTAAAAACTTAGTGGAATTTAATCAGTTATCTGGCTGTGTAAAAAATTAACCTTTTTAAAGATATCACCCTTTGTATATAGTTTGGAGGTAAAATCTGTACATATATCATCATCTCCAATTGCTCCCATTTCTGAGGTAGAGAATTCACAAAACATGAGGTGGTATTTTGAATTGTCAGCTGCAATTTATGGTAAAGTTAAATTGACCCGTTAACTCAGTATACTGAACTGGGAAGACATACTCGCCTGTAAAATTTTTTTTAGTAGTTTCACCACATTTTCTTTTCAGCTGGTGTAACAGTTGTGTATGACATTGTGTACTGTATGTACAGCAATATTTAAGCAACAGCACAAATAATAAAAAAAACTTACATTTGACAAATAACATTGACAGGTCTTTGTTCCTATGATATATCATGCCACATAACATCTAATACACTTAGAACATACATATAGAATGTACCCTATAGATTGTCCAACACAGTATGGTACTATACATATGTGCTTTGGAGACATGAAAAACTTAATGATTTGACAGTCAAACAATGGGACAAAATAGATTCTAAAAAAGTTGTTCATTATACCTTAGATTTTTGTTTCTGTGAGATGAAAATACTTAAGGTAATTCTGGGGAGGGAAGGGAGGCCCACATGCAGGTTAATGAAACTATTTTGGGGAATACAGTATTGGACCTTTATCAAGTACTATAAATTAATAGGAGAGTCTGAATTCTTCTCCACAGGAATTTCCCTTGATAGTATAACTGTATCAATATTGGCCCTTCAAATTGATTGATAAAAAAGTGTTTGTGGCCTCAAAGCATAACAAAACCATGATCCATGAAATCTTTATCTTCTAAAAAGATTAGCTTAAGGAAGAAAACTGAGAGAATATTGTAGCATGTTAACACAACCAAGTGATGTTTTTGGTACAGAAGAACCAATATCATGGATTCAGGTATCATTTTCTAGAAACATAAATAAGAGCTGAGGTCAAGAATGCTATTAATGTCATGATTTATGGTAAAGCTTATAAGTCAAGTCTGACCTGACTATGACATGACAGAGGCTTCACAAGCAGTGATTAAAACCCCCAGCCCCCTCCCACTCCCCTTCAAGTTTTAACAGTAAAACATGTAATGTGGAACACCTCTGTTAATGGAACACCCTCGGAAGTGGAACAATTTTCAAGTACTTTTCTCTGCGGTATTTCAGGGAGGGTGGGGTTCGGGTATTTACTTGAAACAAAAACTGTTTATAAATAACTAAAAACTAAATTATGTCACAAAATATCAAATGGGAATTATCTGGCCCATTCTGCTTTTTCAAGACTGTTTTTCACATTAAATTACAATTATTTATTTATATTGGACTTGCTCAACTGAGTTAAAATTAAAGTTGAAAAATACAAAATGTGGCAATTTGCCTCAGAAAACATGTTTCCTGGTATGAGCTCAACCGTGTATTCTTTTATTTATGCCTTTGTTTTAAACAATGTTCTGCCAAAACCAATAGTACACAAACATGGTGCAATCACACAGGTGTCATTTGGTCCTTCTTTTTTTAATTCGGTTTTCTGCTTTCCAAATAAGCAATCTGAGTTTTCTGACATTTCTAAATAATTGGCAGTAATGCCTGGTATTTTTTATTCTAATTCAAATAAAAAAAAGCTTGGCTGCAACCACTGACATTTTTCAACTTTAAATGCACTGATTATACTATAAAAGACTGTACCTCAACACCAACTGGCCCATGTACAATCTGTAATTGAAGTTAATTAATTAATTCATTGTTAACCTATAGTAATAATTTTTTATCCAAACTCACCTTCACATACTTAATTCCAAGTTTAACCTGGAATGGTGGTCTCTTTATAGACATGTGTCCTTTCTTCACTATGTCACACTCTCTCTCTGAACTCGAGGTCGACATCTTCATCGTGGAAATGTTGCCTCAAAATTTTTCTGATCTGGTTGATTGTATCAGCGTTGAACTGGTGAGTTAACTCACTTTTCAAACTCACAGTCTGTTACGTGTTAAAGTCGGTCAGTTTACTGCATCTTGTTTTCATTCTGTTAATTTTGGTGATATCTGAGGTGAGATATGATCCTATAGTCTTGACTAGATAACTCCGTCTAGAGATGATACGATAGCACAAATTCTTCCAATTTTATGCTGGAGATAATTCTGTTTAATTATTGGTATCTTGTATCTCAGGCTAATTGCTACTAGTTTCTCTGTGTAACAGCATAAAGTCCTAATATACTGTGTTTATCAGAATGAAACACTTATCCTCTCAACGCTCTTTTTATAAATGCTAGGTGCACACAATTGTATTTTCTTTAATTGAATCTACAATCCTTACCAGTAAGTTGTGTTTATTCCCACTGACAGGTTGGTACTTTTTGCATAACAGCAAAACAAGCGCCTGTCTAGTTTCCAAATATAGACCAGTAAGACTAGTAAGGTCAGATTCCAGTGTTAGGGGTGTTAAGTTTACATCATTAATCAATGTGGACGTTTGTGTATAGTGGTTGCTTAATGTACAATGTACTTGTATCGGCACCTCTAGGCAGGAAGTCAGAAACCTTCTTCTGGCGAATTTTGCGGTTTTGAGAACTGAATCGGCACTGCCCTAATTAGCATGTAATTCCGCACTCTGGTGACTGAAAAATAATTAATCAGTGTCTTTTAAAATAAATTCTGGAATACACTGTTAATACGATAGAGGTATATTTCATAATTTTGTATTTCTATTTTTATCTTATATGTAGTAATACTAAAATATACTGTTGTTTTTCTTAGTATTTTGCAAAATTTTGTCAACCTATCCTGTAAAATCCCTGAGTTCTTTGAAGAATAAAAGTAATGTCTCTTTTATGACATTAATTGGAATCTCGTGAATGCGATGACAGTAATTTGCTTGAATTACTTCCTGGTGTCTCTGATAAAACTCTACCTGCGTGTATAAATATAAAACGCTTTGACATGCAAAATATTTACTGAGTGTCATTTACTTAAGTGTCTTTGTTTAGGAGTAAATATGAAATGTGGTAATTCCAGAAAAGAATTATTCAAATAAAATGTGGTTTTCATTTGTAAAATGTTTCAAGATTAGAATCTTAGTATTAAAGATATACAGGGTGGGCCAAAATAACCATACCCAAGCTTAAAGATGAATGATTCAGATGATATATGTAACATCATGCCATGTATTACATAGCATTTTAAAGGTAAATCATTTCCTAACAATATGACACCATCCACTCAAAAAATCTTTGTTTTCTTGTGGAGTTAGAGGCTAAAATTTACAACAGGGGTGCCATGAGCGACCGAAAATCAACCCAAATTCCCTCCATACTGCAATCTCAGCTGCACTCAATATGCTTGACTGAATCATCATAAATTTATTCAAAAGTAATACACAATTGATGATTAATTATTAGATATATTATTATATAAGTATTATTGGTGAATTTTGCACTAAACGTGTTTAAATGTACCCATTTTGAAGGTGCCTAAGTTCAAATTTCCTTCCATTTTCCACATTTTGGAAATTCGCAGTGAATAATATTTTGATTGTTCATGACACCCCTTGTGTCAATTTTAGCATCCAACTGATATATAAAACATGGCATGGTTTTACGTTATATCATATGATATTCATCCTTAAACTTGGGTATGGTTTTTTTGGCCCACCGTGTATATTTTTATTAATTATTATACATACATATTAATGTACTTGTATTGTTTCCTGTTACATCATATTTGCAGGTTCAAAAATTAATTGTTTTTGTCTCCATCTCAACAGAAAAAGTTACAGGACTAGTTTAGTTTATGTTTCTTTATTTCCATTTGTTAAAGTGTTTATAAGATGTGTCTGGAAATCCATTATAAAAAGAGTAGAGCCACTTAGTTTTGCATCTCACTGGTTGACAACTACTGAATGTCAGAATTGAAATTGAACCAGTGAAAACAATTCCTGGTGGTGCTGATACAGAATTAATGGTATATGTGAAGTGGTATCAGGGATGGAGTTGGAAATTGACAAGGGCTGGGGGGTATAACTATGGGCTCTTTTTGAAAAAAATTCAATCCACCATTCAACCCATTTTAAAAAAATTCAAATTTTGAAATTTTCAACACATTTTTTTCAAAAAATTCACATTTTTCCAGGAGGTTCCAAATCAAATTTAAATTTGTTTTTGGGCCTACTTTAGTTGAGTAATGAGTACCCCTACCAGATTCACTAGTAGGCAGGGGGGCAATGTTTAAATAAATCTCCAGTTTCTCAAGGAATGTAATTATTTATCTGTGAATGTATGGGAATGCACAGTTCAAGTTATATGAGACATTTAATATCTGAACTTCATTTACACAATGAATGTTCATTTGACTTAAAACATTGGGTAGAAGAAATATTATGACCTAATCAAGTTTTTTTTGCATGGAATGCCAGATTTGATATTGAATTCTTAACTGCCAATCACCCCACAGACAAAAATACTTAACTTCTGTTTTCTCAAATGTTTAAGTGATGTTAAGTGAAACCAGAATGTGTAAAGATTAAGGTTTTTATCCCATCGAACAAAGTTCGGAGGGATATAGGGAACGCCTCCGTCCGTCCGTACGTACGTCCGTCCGTACGTACGTCTGTCCGTACGTCTGTCCGTACGTACGTCCGTCCGTCCGGGCAATAACTCAAATACCGTTGGCCCGATTTTGTTCATATTTTGTACACATATACCTTATGGGGGTAGAAGTTCTGCTCGAAAGCCGATTTTCAAAATGGCCGCTCATTTCAAAATGGCGGCCATTTTAGTGCCGATTTTACAGTAATTTAGGTGCAATATGTAAAACTGTTATAACAATATGTTTTAAATGTAAAAAAATTATAAAGGACATTAATAATGCTACAAATGTAGATATTAAAGAAGCACATGGCAGTCATCCTGAAAAATGGTGGCCTTTACTCGTCATTTTACGATTTTTGCTATATCTCAAAAAATAGTAGAGCGATTTTGTTCATATTTGGTATGTGAATACTATAAGCATTGTACACTGTCTTAAGACACTTTTGGTAGAAGGCGGCCATTTTGAAAAATGGCCGCCATTTTAACGTATTTTACTATAACTCGAAAAGTAGTAGAGCAGTTTTTTCATATTTGGTATGTGAATACTATAAGCACGGCACACTGCCCTATGACACTTTTGGTAGAAGGCGGCCATTTTTACATGTTTTACTATAACTCGAAAAGTAGTGGAGCGATTTTGTTCATATTTGGTATGTGAATACTATAAGCATGGCACACTGTCCTATGACACTTTTGGTAGAAGGCGGCCATTTTGAAAAAATTTTTGAAAAATGACCGCCATTTTAACGTATTTTACTATTATTATCGAAAAGTAGTGGAGCAATTTTGTTCATATTTGGTATGTGAATACTATAAGCATGGCACACTGTCTATTTCTAATGACACTTTTGGTAGAAGGTGGCCATTTTGAAAAATGGCCGCCATTTTAACGTTTTTTACTATAACTCAAAAAGTAGTGGAGCGATTTTGTTCATATTTGATATGTGAATACTTTAAGAATGGCACATTTTCTAATAAAACTTTGGGGAGTAGTCGGCCATTTTGAAAAATGGCCACCATTTTTATGTGTGTTATTTTACAAGTACGTGTGCGATTTTTCAAAAATTTTAGAGGTGGCTACTGAAAAGCATATTATTTCTTCTGATGACAACTTGGCTAGTGAGCAACCATTTTGAAAATGGTGGCCTTTCTTATGTGTGTTGTTTTATGATATTTGCTATTCATTTGTAAAAATGCCAGCCATTTCTGTTCGATGGGATTCGCTACACTTTGGCGTTGCCGTTGTTCTGGTTGTTAAAGATATTCATGTCAGCCTAGAGTCAAGTCATTGTTACTGAAATATAATGGACTTTTAACCTTGAAATTTAGCTTTGTGCATAGGATGGTTATTTTTAAAATACATGTACTTCAAAACATACTCAAGTACATGTACCGTACATAGCATAAATATAACACTTTGAAGTAAAATCAAATCTTGCTAAATATTTCAATAGAATAACAGAATCAAGATATTGAAGCAGAAAAATAATATTTACATAATAGTAAGATTATTTTCATTAAAACTTGTGAAACACATTTTAAAGATCATCTACTTACCGGCAGCAAGTTTCACCCCGCAAGTTTCCTCTTCTCAAATTTATGATATGACGTCTATTTTTAATCTGCAGAGGACAAATATTTCAGCAATTTGAACCACAATGGGTTTGTCTTCCCCTCATTGGTTTCCTCGAAATTACCAGAAGTTACAAAATCATTAAAAAGTCTCTTATTTTAGGTTTAAAACTTTGAAACCCGACTGTGCTTAATATTATTTTACTATCAGCCTCTCTGTTATCTAAATGTGTCAAAAAATATACTTCAAACTTTATTTATTCGTGTTAATTAATTATGTTTTGATTTATCTTCGTTGATAATCCTGTGTATGTTAGCTATGTAACTTGATGATTGTTTATGATGATACTATTAGATGCTAGGGATGTTTCTCTATTTATGCTCTCTCTGTATGCGTCATCATTTGAACTTATTAGCTGCTACTGCTATACTAAGCATGTTATGTCTTGTCAGTCTGTGCTTATTTCTGTATGCACACTTACCATATGTTCAATGTTTCTCAATTCAAGTACAATTTGGGTTCATCCCATGTGGTTTGTTGTTACCTGTATGGATTCGGTACTTCAGTGGTAGAGATGACAACCGTTATCACTTTTACACAAAATATTCATGTTTTAACCTTTTTATGATATATAGGTCAAGATATTATCTTTTGAGACTCATTCTTGTTTGAGGAAGTCCTATTGGTATATATAGTGGTAAACTTGAAGATAAGTTAGTTCATATCACTTTATCTTGGCTGTCATTTCTAGAGCCACCAAGACCTGATTGCAACACAGTTTTGTTGTAGAAGGGAGATCTTAATGTCATCTTGGGTACTTCTTCTTAATTCGGATATTAAATGAAAAATGAGTATATTTGAAACATGCGTCAAAATTTAACTGCACAAGAGGCAATTGTATGGAAACACAAATTGTATGATAGATGCAAATTCGTTGCTTTCTTGGTTCATTGATATAATATTTTTGAGAACACTGCCACAGG